GTAGGTTTAATATTTACTGTCCATCAGCTGTAGGTTTCATATACTGTCCATCAGCTGTAGGTTTCATATTTACTGTCCATTAGTAGCATCCGTAGTTTAATTTAATTACCATACCAATACATTTCTTTAGAACCTTTTTTATTCTCAAATTATGGATACATGAATTATAAAAGGTTGGAATGAGATGCATCTAGAGAAAGGTCCAGGGGATGGTAAACTATTTTAATTAAAAGGGTGCTGGGGGATGGTAACCTATTATAATTAAAAGGGTGCTGGGGGATGGTAACCTATTATAATTAAAAGGGTGCTGGGGGATGGTAACCTATTATAATTAAAAGGATGCCCAGCAACAATAACCTATTATAATTAAAAGGGTGCTGGGGGATGCCCAGCAATGGTAACCTATTAATTCAAGTAACAGACTCTTAACTACCAGTAACTTGAATGTGGGGGACGGTGCCCTATAAAGATATAACCTGTTTAAGAAACGGTGGAAGTTAAACCATGCACCTTCCTCTACAGGACCCCTCCGATCAACTTTTAATTCTTTATTAACTCTTGTATTAATGGTCATTTATCACCAATATAATTCTTATTAATGTGTTAGATCTGAACATTTTAATTGTTTTAAATATGTGCATGTTTGTTGGGGGAAATTGAGAGTTTTGTAAACCAACAGTAAAGATTAACAACATACATGTATTTAGAATAATTAAAATGGAACTAGGGTTATCCTGTTGTTGATAAATATAGTATATATATAATGTCTAATGTCTAATGATGTTGTCCTCATTCAGGTGAGTTGAAGCGGTCATTTCCATAATGGAAAATTCATTTGTAATTTAGGCGTTAGTGTTTGGGTTTATCTACCCCTAAACCATGTGTTGTTTAGCTCGGCATGTGGCACCTTCCCAACTATCCTGAATGTTGATTACTATATTAACAGTATTAGGTTATTTAAGATAGAAACTTTGTGGTTTATTAAATTGTGGATTATTTTAAAAATATATATATATCAAAATAATAACTGAAAACTGTTTTCACAGATTTTATGTCATGTCTTTGTATCAACATCAATAAATTTATTTACGATTGTAAATAATAGAAATTGGGTAGAAGAAGAAAAGGGCAAATTTATTAGAACATCGTTCTTGCCACTATATGTACATGTATATATATATTGCCAGTGTCAAAAAGCAGCACAAATATTAGAGTTGTCTTGATAACTCCAGTATTTTGAACTTCGACACATGGAGGCAAGGCCTGGTCCCGGGGTGTATAGATGGCATTTTGAGTATCTTACAAACTATTCCTAGATTTGAAACGTGTATCTAATTGTGTTATAAATTTTATTGTGTGTATTGTCAATACTTTCAAATTATTATAAATATTTCTCCTTTTTTTTGTTTCATTTGATTTTTTTAAACTCGAATATTTGTAAAGTCATAATTTTATATTGCAGCATATTTTTTTTCCCTTTTCTGTTTTATTTAATGTTGTTTTTATGAGTTTACTTAATGACTATATGGGACCAATATTACGTTCGTTAACCTTATATAATTAACGATGACCGAATATTGATGTTTATATATTTTAAATGTTTTTTTTTCTTTTGTTTATATACATTTATATTATATTTGTGATTTTACAGTGCTATTCTATCATTGTTTACTCCGTCGTCGATTCCGTTATTTAAAGCGGTTATTGATTGTCTTGCCGTAAACAGACATCGAGCTACGAGTTAATTCCGAAAGTTATTTGAATTTAAAACCAAATCAAATTTACTCTTACTAAACAATATTATTCAGTGGGATTAATACTAACTTAAATTATTGACATTTGCAGTTTACATTTGTCAAATATATTTGAAACTGCCGTCTTCACGCTTCTGTGAGCACATGAAATATTTATGATTCTCTTTCAAGAAAATAGTTAACCAGATGGCACATCTTTTGGGTTTTAATTCTACAAATTTATTTCAAGCCGGACATTTTTATGCGTCTGATTTGTTTCCTGTTAAACAGGTAGTACATATTTTTGGTATAAATTCTACAAATGACTGTAGACAGTTCCTTTTGGTTACAAGCAAATTAGACAGTTACTATCGGTTACAAGTAAATTAGACAGTTGCTATTAGTTACAAGTAAATTAGTATACATTGGTTATGAGTAAAGTAGCCAGTATCTATCAATTATGAGTAAATTAGGTGGTATCTATCAGTGTTACGAGTATATTAGGTGGTATCTATCAGTGTTACGAGTAAATTAAACGGGATCTATCGGTTATGAGTAAACAATGATTTTTTTATATGCAGTGAACTAGAGTGTTTAAAAAGAAGTTTTTATGTTCATCTTATTATGTGCCTTATTTCTTGCAATTAAACTTTATATTGTTTCATTATTTCTTGTTATTTTGTTATTTGTTTATTATTAGATGTAGATTTTTATGATAAACACCTTATTTTTGAAATCTTGATATTTTTAAGGAGTCATCATTATTTGAGGGATTTAGGACACGTTAAAAGCTGCAATAGTTGAATATTTATAAAGAATATCAATCTTTCAATATTTACAAAGATATGATAAATTGAATATTTCACACCATTCAGTATCCTCTACAGGTGATATAAACAAGCCAGGGCCAGATGACTCACATGTTGGATAAAATCTTTTGATGGACAACTTTTTGATCTGACTGAAACGAATCCAGAATCTTGAGTTCCAGGTTTTATCAAAACATTCTCAGACTTAAGTTAAGGATTTACTCAAAATTGTTCGCATTATATTAACTAATATATAGCCCTTTATAAAACTTGTGTTGCGTTTTGTGTTTCTGGATCAAAGATATTTGTTATAAACAGTGATTGAAAATTGAGTAAATTCTCAACTGAAGTCTGAGAATGCTTTGTGAACTCGGACCGGAACCGGTCACTAGATTTGTATGTCAGTTAAGGGATTTCATTGTTCCAATATGAGGGACATGATAATTGTAACAGTCACTTTATCAAGTTGTTATCCCATATATATTCAACTTTATAAGCTAGCTGGTCAACATACTTAAAAGTCCTAAATTGACGATTTTAGTCAAAAACACTAAATATATTTCAAGAACTTTGAGAAGTATTTATTCTGCTTTACTAATGTTTTAGATATGGCGGCTATTCAGGGCAAAGGTCTATTTTTGAAGAAGATAGTTCTATGCGTGCAGAATGGTTGTTATCCATACACTAGAGTGGGGTATTGGGATTTCTAGACAGCCATGACTTCAGGCCCCAAGTTCACAAATTTGTTCTGGCCCAAAGCATTCTCAGACTTAAGTTAAGAATTTACTCAACTTTCAATCACTGCTTATGAGAAATATCTTTGTTCCAGAAACACGAAACTTTGCACATAAATTTCTTCTTGATGTATTTGATACATTAAAACAGCAAAAGTTTTATAAAGGTCTATATTTTTGTTAAAATAAGGAGAAAAATTTTGAGTAAATTCTTAACTTAAGTCTGAGAATGCTTTGGGCCAGAACAAATTTGTCAATGGCATTTATTACTTGAACTGAGAATAGACAGGACAAGAGCAGCCTAATCCAAGCAGGAGTGTGTCCAGGAATATGAACAGCGAGGGGTCCAAGTTTGGCGTCGGGTCAGGGGGGAACTATCCATGATTTTGATCAAATCTGAAGCTTTGAGACAATATTTCTGCGCATTTAGGTGCATATTGTGTAGGATTACAGTGGTGTGAGACAAAATAACGATAATACTTCACATTTTAGGTGTTTTTTTTTCAGTTAACATGAATGTAGGAGATAAAAAAAACATGCCCTGCACCAGCAGGCAAGAGTCCGTACCCTTTGGGAAATAAAGTTGTTGGGGATCCAGAAGGGTACGTGTAAAAGGGGTCTAACAGACACCCTAGACCTAGATATGTTGGGAACCATGTTATCGCAAGAGTAGAGTGTCCACAACCTAATTACACGATTTTTCCTACAATCAGTGGCCATTGTCCTTGGAGTTATGGTTTGATCTATAGGATATAAACCTATATTTCAAGTTTCGTTAAAATCGGATAAAATTGTGACCTTTAGAGTGTCCACAAACTAAATGTGAACGGACGGACAGCGACGAAGACACAATACGTCCAGGGAGATATTCCAGGATATAAACCTATATTTCGAATTTCGTCAAAATCGGATACACATTGTGACCTGTAGAGAGTGTTCACATACAACATGTGATTTGTAATTGTAGAAACATCTGCACACCTGATCGTACACCCTACTAACAGGGGGCAGATCGGGGGGGGGGGGGTATGCGGCTCAGCTACATAATTTTTTTTTTTGTAAATCAACACTTTTTATGAGAAAAGTTTCTCGGCCGGGAGCTTTATCCTTTATCGTCAGATATGTGGGACAGGATGGGCACTCAAAGCACGAGATAATGATATAGACATTATGTGATATCACAATTAATGCTTTGCATCCATGAAATTGAATCACAATGTCATTGTATTGATTCATAATAAAAAATGGCATCAAACAAGGTTTTGAATTTCTCTGTTTAAAAAGCTCAATGTGTATGTATATACGCCAAAATGACGATAGAGACCATGCGGGAGGTGTGTGTGTGTGTTGGGGGGGGGGGGGGAATACATTGTCTCAGGAACCTGGCAAACCCCCTCCTGCAAAAATTCCTGGATCCGCCCCTGACTAAATAGGATTCCGTAGCTAACACTACCTTCTACAGGTTCAAAATAAAATCATTTTCATCGCTTTGACTCAACTCACAAAATGGCACAAAATCATTCGGTTTTCAACATTAAAATTATAATCATAATGCTTAACCAGTGTCAAATATATACCGTGGGTCTGAAATGCGCTCCACCAATACATTTATCTACTTTTAGTTTGGTTGTGGAAGTAGGTCAATATGTCAAATAACCGGAAGCAGGTGCCCGGTTGCTATTTTTACCTTTAGCGGGTCAATTAAAGAGTTTACAAAATGGCGGCTTACTGTTATTGAATTTTGGAATATTATTGTTTGTTTTTATTCGATTTTTGTTGTGTATTCGTACTATTTGTGCTAATTGCGTTATTGTTTCCACAATGGGGGACACCGTTGGTGTGTTGTCACAATATTTTGTGCGTTTAGCATCGTTTCAAGGACTGTTAAATGATAATCAAGCGAGTGACAGCGACTGTCAACAAACACATGTTGGAAATAATAAAAAACAAACGGTTTTTGTAAGTGACAGAACATCGTTTATAAAGTTAGCAAGAGCCGGATTTTATTATGCCGGACCTGTTGAAGGTATTCAGTGTTTTGTTTGCAAATCGAAAGCAAGATATAGAAATTGGCATAAGGAATCTCCAGTTGCTGTCCACCGAATATTGAATCCATACTGTCCATTTCTTCAATCGGAATCATCGTTTTGTTCAAGGGAAAGTAATTCTACCGCCATACAGTCACCAACAACTGATGGTCTTGTATCAAATCATTGTTGTACAAATAGTCAACAGCCAGATAGTCCTACACAGTTGCAGGAAGCCGGTGACATTAGAGGTGATGTTCCAAATCCCATTCAACCAGATGAAACACCTCCAAATAGTGGCACTAATGAGAATACAACATTGCATTCAATGAATAGTGTTCGCAGAAATTTATTCTCTACAAGTCCTGCCAGTAACGTTGATGAGAATTCAACCAACATAATACATAACCCAGCAAATTATAATATCCGATCTAGGTCCCAATGGTCAGATCATGTTGAAGAATATACAGGACGAATTATACATCCTAGAATCGGTGACAAGGTTTTCAATGCTTACGAATCATTTCGTATTCTTACATTTCCTAATCCCCAAGATGAAAAAGCTGCAGAATGGGCTGTCGATGGTTTTGTTTACATTGGCAACGACAATGTTCAATGTGTTTATTGTGCAGGAGTGACATCATATCAAGAACAATTAAACATCAGAGATATCCATGAAAAAATCTCACCAAAAGGTCGTTATTATTGTCCAATGATCAGTGGAATCGATGTCGGAAATGTGTCAAGAAAATTAGAAGAGTTAGTGAGAAAGAAGTTGATTGATAAAAACAACAGACCTAGAAATATAAAAAATAATTTCCCTGTTCTACATCCACAGTTTAGTAAAACAGAAGAAAGATTAGCATCTTTTAGGCATTGGCCAAAACAATATAAACCAACCAAAATACAGTTAACAGAGGCAGGATTCTTCTATACAGGTATTGTATTAGCCTATATAATACAGGTATTGTTTATATTGTATTAGCCCATATAATACAGGTATTGTTTATATTGTATTAGCCTATATAATACAGAAACATATTTAATGTACATGTAGACTAAATGTATACGTATCAAATTTGAGATTTTCAAGAAAAACATGATTTGATCAAAAATTGAACAACTCTGGGATTTCTCGACAGGGTTACACCTTGTCAGCGGTGCAGGAATGAGGGACTGTTAAGGGACGAAAAACCGAGGTCTTATATACACATTAGCGTTCATGTAAAAGATCCCTTGGCAGTTTGAATTTGATAAAAGTAGGCTGTAGTGCCACTGTCTGGGTAAAATTTCCCTTGTGGCATAATGTATGGCATATGATATTAAACCCAATTTCATTTCCTTTTAATATGACAGCTGATTTTGTAATACATATAAGTACTTACTTTATGTATTAGTGAATTATTTGATAAAAGATATTAATTATAGGTAACAGTAACTCTTCATTCATCTTAAAGGGATTTGATAATAGTGAGGTTTGAGTCAGGTTGAAAACACCTATCAGGATACATTTCATGCCTGTTTCTTACTTGAGACATTAACAGGAGATGTTCAATTTTTTTTTATCAAATCATATTTTATTTAACGTACAGATACAACAAAATACATTGTCTATTTTCTGGAAAAAACTGAAAAAAATCATAGTTAATTTACTTGTAGGACTACACCTATAGCTGTGTATATATATATATATATATATATATACCTATACAACAAGAGATAGTACTGTACATATCAATATATTAATACTATTTTTTCAAGTTAACTACTGTATATATCAATAGATTAATACTATATTTTCAGGTGTAGTAACAAAAGTTGTATGTTTTTGTTGTGGTATATCTGTTAGAGATTGGGAACCAACAGCTGAACCATGGCAGCAACATGCTTTAATATCACCAACATGTTCATTTATAAAACTTATAAAAGGTGAAGAATTTATTCAACAAATGGCAGCAATACAGGTAATTATTGACCTCTTTTATATAATTATTAAACAATTTACCTTAGAACAAACAAACATGTGAACAAAGAGAAGGTTTGATTTAATGACACCAGCTCCACACCATTAGTTCAATAAATTGACAACCACAGAGCATATTCATAGAGGATTGTTAAGTACTACTCATTTATTGGCAACAAAAAATGTAGTTGCCTCCCTTTGATTTAGCCTCGCATTGAATACATTACATTTGTATAGTAAGTGCAGGAGGACTGCACTACACACAAAACAAAATGGACAAGACAAACCTACGGACAAGACCAGCTACACAGGCATTGCAAGAAATAAACAACAAATATCAAATCAAGTGAATGGATCGGGGGGGGGGGGGGGGGAACTAACATTTGATACAAGTTTTAATGTTTATATAAATCAATTTAATATTAAACTTGTATAATATATTGTTTAAACTATTTTTCAGCAACTGGTTGAAGTTGATCCATTAGTGACAGGTTTGTAACTTTATTTTCTCTTTCTCTCACATATAAAATACAAATTTGTTGCCAGAAACAAATCATGTTTTAAAATATTTATAATCACATACATGTAAATAAAGGGAAGTAACTATATATATCGAATGGAATGGGTGTTCAGCACTTCATCAACAAAATACTGTAATTGGCCAGTTGGAGGTGATTTTCTGCTTATTTCTATGATTTTCAAATTGAGGATTCTTTTATTTGCACGGTTGGTCTAGTGGATTAATGTGTAGACGTTACATCAGAAGGTCTGTCATTGTGTCGATTGACATGGTTTCAATTCCAACTTGTACGTGACAAGGAGCAGCATCGTCTGGCCAACCCCGTTTTTTTCACCAGGTCCTATGGTTTCCTCCCACTGCTAAAGAGCCCTATCAGGCGAATTTTTGATATAAATTGAACCATATGTTAGTCTTGAATGAGTGGACGTTAAACCCCATCTCTCACTCACTATTAAGAGAAATATCCCAAAATGTGTTTTCAATATTTATAGATATTATTACTACTTTGAAGACTGAATGCAGGGGAGGGGTGTGCCCTCTAACAAATTTCTCTGGGAGTCTATAGTCAATCAAATGTACTACTCACCGATTATGTAGATACACGTAATGATTACATTTAGGATTATGCTTTGGATTGGTGATGAATTATATTTACATATTGTTTGTTTTATGTTTTACAGAACCAGTAACATCAATAGGAGAATTAAATATACCTGATCCGTACCCTCCAACATTGAATACAACTCTACTAGCAGCTTATAGTACATGTGGGTACAACATCTCTACTACACAATTACTTCATCTTATACAACAATTCTTTATACATACATGTGAGTAATATACACTCACCTTTATTACATTATACCTGGACTACACTCACTTTATTACATTATACCTGGACTACACTCACTTTATTACATTATACCTAGAGACATTATACCTGGTTACTATTTACCTACACTCAATTTATTACATTATACCTGGAGACAGGTTACTATTCACCTGTGATATACACTCACTTTATTATGTTATACCTAGAGATAGGTTTACTATTTACCTGTGAGTAATATATACTCACTAATTACATTATACATGTACCTGGAGACTTGTTACTATTGATCAACCTTACACTCACTTTATACTCTACACTAGTTATTAGTTCATTTTAAAGAAAAAAGAATGTTTTATAAATCTCTGACTAGAATCTAACAGCCAAGTTTAATTTGAAAGAAAAAAATAAGTTTTTATATGCCCAGATGGAAATGTGGTTGTATATTACCATCCGCCATCCAGAAAATAATGTTTTCTAAACTTCCTGACTTAGAATCTAACACCCATGGAAGCGGAGCGCACGTTAAACACCACAAATACCAACATCAGCATTCAGTTAATGGTCACCCCTTGTTATGACCTTGATATGTGGAGGAATTTGGTTAAAATATTTGTAATGAATATGTTGTTGTATATTACAGGTGGAAGATATCCAAGTGTTGAGATGTTAAAAGCTGCTGTTTTAGCTGATGGTGAATTAAAGAAACATGTTGACATGTTAGATCTAAAAGATGGAGTTATACAGACTAAAGATAAACAGTTAGATAACTTAGATCAGGTGATGACTGTTAAAGACCAGTATTACAAGGCTACTGTAGCTTCTCTTAATCAGCATCATAATATTATCATTGATTGTAAAGAACAGGAACTGAACCAACAGAGTCAACAACTGAACCAACAGAGTCAACAACTGAACCAAGCCAGTGAACAACTGAACCAAGCCAGTGAACAACTGAACCATAAAGATCAACAACTGAACCATAAAGATCAACAACTGAACCATAAAGATCAACAACTGAACCAACAGAGTCAACAATTGAACCATTATCGCTGCACCAAACGTCAACTAAGACAACACATCAGAGAAAAGGATGAGCATATTGACAACTTGTCAAACAGATTACAGATGGCTGTTGACAGACATAAAACAAGGGAAGATAACTTACAACAACAAATATATTTACATCAGACTGAATTAGAAACACAGAGAACTCAATTACAGGCTGATATAGAGAAATATGAGGAAGAGTTATCTACCTTAGTTATAGAATTCACCAGATTGAGATCTACAGGTAAATGATTGGTTTAAATATTTAGGTTGTTTGTTTTATAAAGTTATAATTCCATTTCCTATTATCTAATATAATTAATGTTATGTTTCAGTTACATGTGAAATGAAACGAAATAAAATAGGGGTTACCGTCCTTCTGCTCCGACTGGCATACGCCATACAGTATGCTATGAGTGAAATTTTACCTGGACAGCTGCACTACGGCCTACGCTTATTGCGAGTTCCACCTGTCAAGGAATCTTTTACGTACACAACAATGTGTACACAGGCCCTCTGTCCTGCACCACTGACAAGGGAGATTCGAAACCATGCCACTTGACTCAATGACAGACCTTACCTTATCTTATGATCTCAAGTGCACGCATTTAACCACTGGATCCCCCCACCCCTCCCCCTTGACCATTATGTACTTTAATATAGACAGCAACAGACTGTAATATCATCAATTATAGAGATAACTTTTATTATAACAAGAAATTATATAATATGTTTTATATTTCAGTTAATAACAGAGAAAATCAACAAGAAAATCAACCTGACCCTGTAGCTTTAAACCCTGATAGATGTGTGATTTGTTTATCTGAAACTCGTGTTGTTTTATTTCGACCGTGTAAACATGTCTGTTGTTGTACAAATTGTGCTCCTCGTTTCATGGATTCACCGTGTCCCGTCTGTCGGACTCATGTACAGGATTGGGAAATCGTTTTTCTTTCTTAATTATCTTTATCCCAATTTCACAAAACATTCTCAGACTTCAGATAACAATTTACTCAAAATTGTCTGCCTTATTGCAACTAAAATATAGTCCTTTATAAAACTTTTGTTGTTATAATGTATCAAATACATCAATAAGAAACTATGTGCAAAGTTTTATGTTTCTGGATCAAAGATATTTTCTTTAAACAGGGAGAGGGGTTTTACATAGGTTAAGCCTGTTCCCCAATCCCATTCAGACTACCTGAATAAAAATATTGTTTAAAAAAAAAAAAAAAATTCTTATAAACAGTGATTGAAATTTCAGTCTGAGAATGCTTTGTTAAACTGGATCCAGGAGTTCCATTAAACCATGATTTTATTCATAAAGTTATTGTGGTCTTCATGTACGGTGTAAAATTATTATTATGATATTATTTCTTTAAGTTATTAGCTTTCTTATTTCAAAACCAAAAGGGAAAATAAAACATTAATTGGAGTAGGATGGTACGGTAGATAGTACCATACCCATGTATATATTGTATAAAATAAATCGTATAACTAGGTAATAAAATTTGTAGACATTGACATTGTTTACATGTATAAGATTTGGAATTAATTAGTAGACAAATTAATTTTATGTGTTTTTTATAGGCAGCAGTATATTAATACATGTACATAGTTTTGTTTTCAAAATTTAAAAAAGGCTTAAAAAATAAATTGTATATATTTGTATATATATTATGTACATCCTTCTCATTGTCTTCATTCATCAATTCTTAATCTATGATAAAATGTTATTGTCTTCATTCATCAATTCTTAATCTATGATATATCTTTTGATTTGTATTCGTCTTTAACTCTCGTTATAGAAAGATACATAATTATATCTTTTTGTTTGTATATATTTAATTGTTCAAATCATTTAGTTCTAGATGATGTATATAAAACTCCTAGTTCTATAAACAAATATAAAACTCCTAGTGCTATGGACAAATGAATATAAAACTCCTAGTGCTATAACCAAATAAATATAAAACTTCTAGTGCTATGTACAAATGAATATGAAACTCCTAGTTCTATAGACAAATGAATTTGAGGTTAAAGTTTAATATTGTATTTATTATGTAAGGATTGTAAATAACTATCTCCTTTTATCATTTAACTATTTGTGTGTTTATCAGCCTATACTAGATATATGGTAATATATTTTGTAATGAATCACTGTCTAATATTCACAAACTGTCTATTTTACATAAAAACTACAGCAGCTATATATTGTCAATAATCAATTATCACTTCAATCTACATCAGATCAAGTTTCAGAATTTATATCGTCGTATTCCCCATCTTGTTAGTCTCAAGATTTAATAAACACATCCAGTAAAATCATACATTTATCTAATAAAGGGCTATTTTTTCACAATATTTTTATCCAATACATTTATCTCTATTACGATGTGCCATTTAGTGGTTATTACCTTTACAATTTGCCATTAAGTGGCTGTATCTTTTATAATGTGCCATTTAGTGGTCATTACTTTTAAAATTTGCCATGAAGTGGCTGTATCTTTTATAATGTGCCATTAAGTGGTCATTACCTTTACAATTTGCCATTAAGTGGCTGTATTTTTTATAATGTGCCATTAAGTGGTCATTACCTTTACAATTTGCCATTAAGTGGCTATTACCTTACCATGTTATTGGTTACAATAAAATGTCCAGTAAAAGAGAAACATGTTTCTTGTATTTTTATACACCCACATTTTAATGTGGACATATATTGTCATCGCCCCTGTCCGTCCATCCACAATCTGTTTGTGGACACTCTACTATGAAAGACCAAATGGGACAATATCCATGATTCTTGTTTTTACATTCCAGTTTGAATATTTTAAACTAAACTAATTCTAGAAAACTTAAACTTATTGTCCAGAATCTAACAGAAATGAAAATGAAATGGGGTTTAACTTACTACTTTTCTGCTAGGAGGGAAATTTTGCCTAGACAGTGGCACTATGGCCTACTCTTATATCAAATTCCAACTGCCAAGGGATCTTTTGTGTGTACATCAATGTGTACACGGAACCTTGGTTTTTCGTCCCATACAAACGACTCTACATTGTCCCTTGCCAGCCCCCTCCCCCCCAGTCCTGTACCACCGACAATGAGGAACCATCCTGATTAACTTTCTCGATCAATGCAGGGATGGAACACGGGACCTCCACGTTAGCGAGTCAACATCTTTACCCACTGAACCACCATGGCTACCACAAACTACAATATTTGAATATCTAAAAGAAATATTAGCCTTTTTAATATTTATAAAGATATGATAAATTGTAAATTTCACATCATTCAGTATCCTCCACTGATAATATAAACAAGCTAGGGACACATGACTCACATGTTTGTGTTGGATAAAATCTTTTGATGGACAACTTTTTAATCTGAATGAAACTAATCCAGCATCTTGAGTTCCAGGTTTTTATCTGTCAGATGTCTTGGTTGTCCAGACATCCCAATATCCCACTCTAGTGCAAGGATAACAACTTGATGAAGTGTCCCTCAAACATTGAAACAATGAAATCCTTTAACTGACTTGCAAATCTAGTGACCGGTTTTGAACAAATTTTTCAATGACATTTAAGGATAACAACTTGCTGAAGTGACTGTTACAATTATCATGTCCCTCATACATTGGAACAATGAAATCCTTTAACTGACTTGCAAATCTAGTGACATTTAATAGTTGAACAGAGAATAGACTAGAGCAGCCTGATCCCAGCAGGACCGTCTTCAACATGGAAACAACTACCCGCGAATTTGATAATCAGAAGATTTGGGAAATATTTCTGCTCAATCAGGTGCATACATGTATAGGATTACAGTGGAGGGAGCCAAAATGGTGGTAATATTTATTTCTCACTTTAACAGGGTTTTTTTCCCCACGTTATTTCAATGAATGTAGGAGATAAAAACTTTCTCTGCACCATCAGGCGAGGGTTACATTCCGATATGCGTCAATATCAAAAAGAACCGAGATCCTTGGGATATAAACAGATGTTTTGTAATTTCGTTAAATCCGATAAAAAAAAAATTGTAACATAGAGTGTCCACAAACTACATGTGAAAGGACTGGCGAACTAGGGCGACGACATAATACGCGTCCACCGAGATCTTGGGGATACACATCTAGATTTTAAATTTCGTCAAAATCGGATAAAAATTGTGATCCGTAAGGGTGTCCAGAAACAAAATATGGACTTGTTGAAAGTCTGTACACCTCATAAGCCATATTAGTTTATTACATAGGCTTCCATAGACAATACTACCTTCTACAAGTTAAAAATAAAAACTTTAAATCATCCTTTTAACTCAGCTCACACAAACAGCAAATAGAGATGATGATGATGATGATGATGATGTTATTTATATAGCGCAGGTGCACACATAGTATGCTCATAGCGCTTGTGATTGAGTTCTGTACAATAAAAGTTCAATACCAAGGTACCACTAAACATAACGTTTAAATAAAAATAAATATGTCTTCAATAAGGTTTTGAATGTCGATAAGGATGATGGGCATTTTTTGAGGTGGATAGGAAGACTGTTTCAGTATATTGCAGCAGTGTATTTAAAAGATTGCGCACCAAAAGAAAGGACGCTATAAGAATATTCCACCTGAGCAAAGGTTATACTCCCAATGTTCTTTTTTCTACCGTTCAAGATGAATTCCATTTTCTGTTCCAATGTCCCAGATAAAAAAATAACCTACGCTTGAAATAAATATACCCTATTTTAATACCATCTTCTCGATTTTGAACTTCTTTTTACTTCTTTGAACTTCCTTTCTAAAGTGGTAGCAATGTGTACATACCATATCCTTTAATAAAGCGTTCATCCGTCGCTTGTTGGGTGTAATCAGAGGCTAAGTGAGAGGGACAAAAGGACGAGCTTTAATATAGTGTTTTTGTACTCCCTCGCAAATGGCAAACAATCATGCGGTTTCATTGCTATTTTTAACATTATAATCATAATCATTATCCTTATACAGTGTCAAACATAGGCTATACCATATAATATATTGGGTCAGATATACTACAAATCTACTCTAGCATATTCCACACAGCCTAATATTACCCGGTGGCAACTTGAAGGAACTGCCAACAGCCCCCCTCCCCGCACACACAATATATTGTTTTTTGGGGCCCGGGCGGGATCTTGTTCCTCGTGCAAAATCATGAGTCACCACGCCCCAGGTGTAATTCCCCTATTGTCTGATCTATTTTCATGCTGCATGTGTAGGCTATAATAGCTGCATAACCTTACTTCATATTTGATCATTTTATGTGTAAATCTACCATCATACATCTCACTATATTATTTTCATTTTATCATCTCAATGTTAATTTATCTCATTATATTTTCATTGTATCAATATTCCATGTAAAATCTATTTTTGGATGCATGTATATTTACATTTGTGTATGTTTGGTATGCAAATAAAAAATTGAAAGCAAAAGTAAAAAAAATGGTTATTAAATTTGTAGTCAACACGTGGTCTCTTTACCGGTTCACCAATACATTTATCTACTTTTAGTTTGGTTCTGGAAGTAGGTCAATATGTCAAATAACCGGAAGCAGGTGCCTGTTGCTATTTTTACCTTTACAAAATGGCGGCTTAACTTGCACTGTTATTGAATTTTGGAATATTGTTTGTTTTTTTTAAATTTTTGTTGTGTATTCGTACTATTTGTGCTAATTGCGTTATTGTTTCCACAATGGGGGACACCGTTGGTGTGTTGTCACAATATTTTGTGCGTTTAGCATCGTTTCAACGACTGTTAAATGATAATCAAGCGAGTGACAGCGACTGTCAACAAACACACGTTGGAAATAATAAAAAACAAACTGTTTCTGTAAGTGACAGAACATCGTTTATAAAGTTAGCACGAGCTGGATTTTACTATGCCGGACCTGTTGAAGGTATTCAGTGTTTTGTTTGTAAATCGAAAGCAAGATATAAAAATTGGAATAAGGAATCTCCAGTTGCAGTCCACCGAATATTGAATCCATACTGTCCATTTCTACAATCGGAATCATCTTTTTGTTCAAGGGAAAGTAATTCCACCGCCATACAGTCACCAACAACTGATGGTCTCATGTCAAATCATTGTTGTACAAATAGTCAACAGCCAGATAGTCCTACACAGTTACAGGAAGCCGGTGACATTAGAGGTGATGTTCCAAATCCCATTCGACCAGATGAAACACCTCCAAATCATGGCACTAATGAGAATACAACCTTGCATTCAATGAATAGCGTTTGCAGAAATTTATTCTCTACAAGTCCTGCCAGGAACCAATCTAATGTAGACGTTGATGAGAATTCAACCAACGTAATAAATAACCCAGCAAATTATAAAATCAGATCTAGGTCCCAATGGTCTGATCATGTTGAAGAATATACAGGACGAGTTATACATCCTAGAATCGGTGACAAGGTTTTCAACGCTTATGAATCATTTCGTATTCTTACATTTCCTAATCCCCAAGATGAAAGAGCTGCAGAATGGGCTGTCGATGGTTTTGTTTACATTGGCAACGACAATGTTCAATGTGTTTATTGTGCAGGAGTGACATCATATCAAGAACAATTAAACATCAGAGATTCCCATGAAAAAATCTCACCAAAAGGTCGTTATTATTGTCCAATGGTCAGTGGAATCGATGTCGGAAACGTGTCAAGAAAATTAGAAGAGTTAGTGAGAAAGAAGTTGATTGATAAAAACAACAGACCTAGAAATATAAAAAATAATTTCCCTGTTCTACATCCACAGTTTAGTAAAACAGAAGAAAGATTAGCATCTTTTAGGCATTGGCCAAAACAATATAAACCAACCAAAATACAGTTAACAGAGGCAGGATTCTTCTATACAGGTATTGTATTAGCCTATATAATACAGGTATTGTTTATATTGTATTAGCCTATATAATACAGAAACATATTTAATGTACATGTAGACTAAATGTATACGTATCAAATTTGAGATTTTCAAGAAAAACATGATTTGATCAAAAATTGAACAACTCTGGGATTTCTCGACAGGGTTACACCTTGTCAGCGGTGCAGGAATGAGGGACTGTTAAGGGACGAAAAACCGAGGTCTTATATACACATTAGCGTTCATGTAAAAGATCCCTTGGCAGTTTGAATTTGATAATGGTAGGCTGTAGCGCCACTGTCTGGGTAAAATTTCCCTCGTGGCATAATGTATGGCATATGATATTAAACCCCATTTCATTTCCTTTTAATATGACAGCTGATTTTGTAATACATATAAGTACTTACTTTATGTATTAGTGAATTATTTGATAAAAGATATTAATTATAGGTAACAGTAACTCTTCATTCATCTTAAAGGGATTTGATAATAGTGAGGTTTGAGTCAGGTTGAAAACACCTATCAGGATACATTTCATGCCTGTTTCTTACTTGAGACATTAACAGGAGATGTTCAATTGTTTTTTATCAAATCATATTTTATTTAACGTACAGATACAACAAAATACATTGTCTATTTTCTGGAAAAAAATGAAAAAAATCATAGTTAATTTACTTGTAGGACTACACCTATAGCTGTATATATATATATATATATATATATATATATATATATATATATATATATACCTATACAACAAGAGATAGTACTGTACATATCAATATATTAATACTATTTTTTTAGGTTAACTACTGTATATATCAATAGATTAATACTATATTTTCAGGTGTAGTAACAAAAGTTGTATGTTTTTGTTGTGGTATATCTGTTAGAGATTGGGAACCAACAGCTGAACCATGGCAGCAACATGCTTTAATATCACCAACATGTTCATTTATAAAACTTATAAAAGGTGAAGAATTTATTCAACAAATGGCAGCAATACAGGTAATTATTGACCTCTTTTATATAATTATTAAACAATTTACCTTAGAACAAACAAAACATGTGAACAAAGAGAAGGTTTGATTTAATGACACCAGCTCCACACCATTAGTTCAATAAATTGACAACCACAGAGCATATTCATAGAGGATTGTTAAGTACTACTCATTTATTGGCAACAAAAAATGTAGTTGCCTCCCTTTGATTTAGCCTCGCATTGAATACATTTGTATAGTAAGTGCAGGAGGACTGCACTACACACAAAACAAAATGGACAAGACAAACCTACGGACAAGACCAGCTACACAGGCATTGCAAGAAATAAACAACAAATATCAAATCAAGTGAATGGATCCGGGGGAGGGGGGGGGGGGGGAACTAACATTTGATACAAGTTTTAATGTTTATATAAATCAATTTAATATTAAACTTGTATAATATATTGTTTAAACTATTTTTCAGCAACTGGTTGAAGTTGATCCATTAGTGACAGGTTTGTAACTTTATTTTCTCTTTCTCTCACATATAAAATACAAATTTGTTGCCAGAAACAAATCATGTTTTAAAATATTTATAATCACATACATGTAAATAAAGGGAAGTAACTATATATATCGAATGGAATGGGTGTTCAGCACTTCATCAACAAAATACTGTAATTGGCCAGTTGGAGGTGATTTTCTGCTTATTTCTATGATTTTCAAATTGAGGATTCTTTTATTTGCACGGTTGGTCTAGTGGATTAATGTGTAGACGTTACATCAGAAGGTCTGTCATTGTGTCGATTGACATGGTTTCAATTCCAACTTGTACGTGACAAGGAGTAGCATCGTCTGGCCAACCCCGTTTTTTTCACCAGGTCCTATGGTTTCCTCCCACTGCTAAAGAGCCCTATCAGGCGAATTTTTGATATAAATTGAACCATATGTTAGTCTTGAATGAGTGGACGTTAAACCCCATCTCTCACTCACTATTAAGAGAAATATCCCAAAATGTGTTTTCAATATTTATAGATATTATTACTACTTTGAAGACTGAATGCAGGGGAGGGGTGTGCCCTCTAACAAATTTCTCTGGGAGTCTATAGTCAATCAAATGTACTACTCACCGATTATGTAGATACACGTAATGATTACATTTAGGATTATGCTTTGGATTGCTGATGAATTATATTTACATATTGTTTGTTTTATGTTTTACAGAACCAGTAACATCAATAGGAGAATTAAATATACCTGATCCGTACCCTCCAACATTGAATACAACTCTACTAGCAGCTTATAGTACATGTGGGTACAACATCTCTACTACACAATTACTTCATCTTATACAACAATTCTTTATACATACATGTGAGTAATATACACTCACCTTTATTACATTATACCTGGTTACTATTATATACACTCACTTTATGACATTATACCTGGTTACTATTTACCTACACTCAATTTATTACATTATACCTGGAGACAGGTTACTATTCACCTGTGATATACACTCACTTTATTATGTTATACCTAGAGATAGGTTTACTATTTACCTGTGAGTAATATATACTCACTAATTACATTATACATGTACCTGGAGACTTGTTACTATTGATCGACCTTACACTCACTTTATACTCTACACTAGTTATTAGTTCATTTTAAAGAAAAAAGAATGTTTTATAAATCTCTGACTAGAATCTAACAGCCAAGTTTAATTTGAAAGAAAAAAATAAGTTTTTATATGCCCAGATGGAAATGTGGTTGTATATTACCATCCGCCATCCAGAAAATAATGTTTTCTAAACTTCCTGACTTAGAATCTAACACCCATGGAAGCGGAGCGCACGTTAAACACCACAAATACCAACATCAGCATTCAGTTAATGGTCACCCCTTGTTATGACCTTGATATGTGGAGGAATTTGGTTAAAATATTTGTAATGAATATGTTGTTGTATATTACAGGTGGAAGATATCCAAGTGTTGAGATGTTAAAAGCTGCTGTTTTAGCTGATGGTGAATTAAAGAAACATGTTGACATGTTAGATCTAAAAGATGAAGTTATACAGACTTATTACAGACAGTTAGATAACTTAGATCAGGTGATGACTGTTAAAGACCAGTATTACAAGGCTACTGTAGCTTCTCTTAATCAGCATCATAATATTATCATTGATTGTAAAGAACAGGAGTACACTCAACAACTGAACCAAGCCAGTGAACAACTGAACCAAGCCAGTGAACAACTGAACCATAAAGATCAACAACTGAACCATAAAGATCAACAACTGAACCAACAGAGTCAACAATTGAACCATTATCGCTGCACCAAACGTCAACTAAGACAACACATCAGAGAAAAGGATGAGCATATTGACAACTTGTCAAACAGATTACAGATGGCTGTTGACAGACATAAAACAAGGGAAGATAACTTACAACAACAAATATATTTACATCAGACTGAATTAGAAACACAGAGAACTCAATTACAGGCTGATATAGAGAAATATGAGGAAGAGTTATCTACCTTAGTTATAGAATTCACCAGATTGAGATCTACAGGTAAATGATTGGTTTAAATATTTAGGTTGTTTGTTTTTTATTAAGTTATAATTCCATTTCCTATTATCTAATATAATTAATGTTATGTTTAAGTTACATGTGAAATGAAACGAAATAAAATAGGGGTTACCGTCCTTCTGTTCTGCTCCAACGGGCATATGCCATACAGTATGCTATGAGGGAAATTTTACCTGGACAGCTGGACTATGGCCTACTCTTATTTCGTGTTCCACCTGTTAAGGAATCTTTTACGTACACGACAATGTGTACACAGGCCCTCTGTCCTGCACCACCGACAAGAGAGACTCGAAACCATGCCACTTGACTCAATGACAGACCTTACCTTATCTTATGATCTCAAGTGCACGCATTTAACCACTGGACCCCCCCACCCCTCCCCCTTGACCATTATGTACTTTAATATAGACAGCAACAGACTGTAATATCATCAATTATAGAGATAACTTTTATTATAACAAGAAATTATATAATATGTTTTATATTTCAGTTAATAACAGAGAAAATCAACAAGAAAATCAACCTGACCCTGTAGCTATAAACCCTGATAGATGTGTGATTTGTTTATCTGAAACTCGTGTTGTTTTATTTCGACCGTGTAAACATGTCTGTTGTTGTACAAATTGTGCTCCTCGTTTCATGGATTCACCGTGTCCCGTCTGTCGGACTCATGTTCAGGATTGGGAAATCGTTTTTCTTTCTTAATTATCTTTATTTATCACAGTCCTGGCCCCAATTTCACAAAACATTCTCAGACTTCAGATAACAATTTACTCAAAATTGTCTGCCTTATTGCAACTAAAATATAGTCCTTTATAAAACTTTTGTTGTTATAATGTATCAAATACATCAATAAGAAACTATGTGCAAAGTTTTATGTTTCTGGATCAAAGATATTTTCTTTAAACAGGGAGAGGGGTTTTACATAGGTTAAGCCTGTTCCCCAATCCCATTCAGACAACCTGAATAAAAATATTGTTTAAAAAAAAAAAAAAAATTCTTATAAACAGTGATCGAAATTTCAATCTGAGAATGCTTTGTTAAACTGGATCCAGGAGTTCCATTAAACCATGATTTTATTCATAAAGTTATTGTGGTGTTCATGTACAGTGTAAAATTATTATTATGATATTATTTCTTTAAGTTATTAGCTTTCTTATTTCAAAACCAAAAGGGCAAATAAAAAGTTAATTGGAGTAGGGTGATAGCTAGATATTACCATACCCATGTATATATTGTATAAAATAAATCGTATAACTAGGTAATAAAATTTGTAGACATTGACATTGTTTACATGCAGGGCTGTCGGTAATTTTTCACAGTTGATTAGCAGCACTGCTAATCAAAAAGTCCAATTTTGCCAAATTTGATTAGCAAAGCTAAAAATTGGTTAGCAGTTTTTCAGTTTCAACATAAAACAACCCAAATAACTAGATATTACTTTAATTATGATTAGATTTCATCCTTCCAGTTTTTTTAGCACTGCCACATGTAGTTGTGACAGTTTGTGAATGTGATGTAAACTTTTGGTTAGGTCTTATGTCTGAAGCCAATTCTTGGTCTTCCGATGCCCCACTCATTTTAATTGTTATTTCTTCATAACTTTAGAAATCTTCGTTAGAAAACAATTTCGTCTGCTTTTTATCGTGTATTACTATTTTTGTTCAATCGGGCGCACATCGATTAACTAGACAAACGCGCAATAATATTTTACGGGAATTCTTACTTTGATTTATCATTTTACAATACGTTAACACATATTTATTTTTTTTATACTTTATTTACAATACGTGGTGGATACACTGGGTTTACTGCTTTCAAAATGCATACTGATATAATTACTTGAAATTGACATGTCTCGCAACGTGAGTGGTACTACTTGATTCCCTATTTCCGGTTTAATAGTCCCTATTCATAGAGAGTTATGTCCCTGTATTATATTCATTGATATTGTATTATGAATTGAGTCTGGGTAGTCCGAGAAGAAAATGTCACACGGATAATTCAGTTTTGTTTATAAAATTTTATTTGACATTTTATACACGTTGAAAGTGTTGAGAAAGCCTCCTAGTCTTCAAACCGGGGATAATCTTTCTGTCAATATCCAAAATGGCAGGCATATTAATGATTCGCAGTTACTGCGAATCAAAAACGTTAGATTTTAATTTTTGATTAGCAGCGGACAAAATATGTATCGCAATTTGCGCTGCGATACTGGTTGTCGGCAGCCCTGTTTACATGTATAAGATTTGGAATTAATTAGTAGACAGATTAATTTTATGTGTTTATTTATAGGCAGCAGTATATTAATACATGTACATAGTTTTGTTTTCAAAAATTAAAAAAAAGTCTTAAAAAAAAAAATTGTATATATTTGTATATATATTATGTACATCCTTCTCATCGTCTTCATTCATCAATTCTTAATCTATTATATATCTTATTGTCTTCATTCATCAATTCTTAATCTATGATATATCTTTTGATTTGTATTCATCTTTGACTCTTGTTATAGAAAGATACATAATTATATCTTTTTGTTTGTATATATTTAATTGTTCAAATCATTTAGTTCTAGATGATGTATATAAAACTCCTAGTTCTATAAACAAATATTAATAAATATAAAACTCCCAGTGCTATGGACAAATAAATATAAAACTCCTAGTGCTATAAACAAATAAATATAAACTCCTAGTGCTATGGACAAATAAACGTAAACTCCTAGTGCTAAGGACAAATGAATATAAAACTCCTAGTGCTATGGGCAAATAAATATCAATGAATATAAACTCCTAGTGCTATGGACAAATAAATATAAATGAATATAAACTCCTAGTGCTATGGACAAATAAATATAAAACTCCTAGTGCTATAAACAAATGAATATAAAACTCAAAGTGCTATGGACAAATGAATATAAAACTTTTAGTGCTATGGACAAATGAATATAAAACTCCTAGTGCTATGGACAAATGAATATAAAACTCCCAGTGCTATGTACAAATAAATATAAATGAATATAAAACTCCTAGTACTATGGACAAATAAATATAAATGAATATAAAACTCCCTAGTGCTATAGAAAATGAATATAAACTCCTAGTGCTATGGACAAATAAATATAAATGAATATAAACTCCTAGTGCTATGGACAAATAAATATAAATGAATATAAACTCCTAGTGCTATGGACAAATAAATATAAATGAATATAAACTCCTAGTGCTATGGACAAATAAATATAAAACTCCTAGTGCTATAAACAAATGAATATAAAACTCCTAGTGCTATAAACAAATAAATTTAAAACTCCTAGTGCTATAGAAAATGAATATAAACTCCTAGTGCTGTGGACAAATAAATATAAAACTCCGAGTGCTATGGACAAATAAATATAAATGAATATAAACTCCTAGTGCTATAAATAAATGAATATAAAACTCATAGTGCTATGGACAAATAAATATAAAACTCCAGGTGCTATAAACAAATAAATATAACCTCCTAGTGCTTTGGACAAATAAACGTAAACTCCTAGTGCTATGGACAAATGAATATAAAACTCCTAGTGCTATAAACAAATAAATATAAAACTCCTAGTTTGGTAAATATGGTAAATATTACCATACCCATGTATATATTGTATAAAATAAATCGAATAACTATGTAATAAAATTTGTAGACATTGACATTGTTTACATATATAAGATTTGGAATTAATTAGTAGACAATTTAATTTGATGTGTTTTTTTATAGGCAGCAGTATATTAATACATGTACATAGTTTTGTTTTCAAAAATTAAAAAAAAAGTCTTAAAAAAAAAAATTGTATATATATTATGTTCATCATTCTCATCGTCTTCATTCATCAATTCTTAATCTATGATATATCTTTTGATTTGTATTCATCTTTGACTCTTGTTATAGAAAGATACATAATTATATCTTTTTGTTTGTATATATTTAATTGTTCAAATCATTTAGTTCTAGATGATGTATATAAAACTCCTAGTTCTATAAACAAATATAAATAAATATAAAACTCCTAGTGCTATGGACAAAAAAATATAAAACTCCGAGTGCTATGGACAAATAAATATAAATGAATATAAACTCCTAGTGCTATAAACAAATGAATATAAAACTCCTAGTGATATGGACAAATAAATATAAATGAATATAAAACTCCTAGTGCTATGGACAAATGAATATAAACTCCTAGTGCTATGGACAAATGAATATAAAACTAGTGCTATGGACAAATGAATATAAATGAATATAAAACTCCTAGTACTATGGACAAATATATATAAATGAATATAAAACTCCCTAGTGCTATGGACAAATGAATATAAAACTCCTAGTGCTATGGACAAATAAATATAAATGAATATAAACGCCTAATGCTATGGACAAATAAATATAAAACTCCTAGTGCTATGGACAAATAAATATGAATGAATATAAACTCCTAGTGATATAAACAAATAAACGTAAACTCCTAGTGCTATGGACAAATGAATATAAAACTCCTAGTGCTACGGACAAATGAATATAAACTCCTAGTGCTATGGACAAATGAATATAAAACTCCTAGTCCTATGGACAAATGAATATAAAACTCCTAGTGCTATGGACAAATAATTATAAATGAATATAAACTCCTAGTGCTATAGAAAATGAGTATAAACTCCTAGTGCTATGGACAAAAAAATATAAAACTCCGAGTGCTATGGACAAATAAATATAAATGAATATAAACTCCTAGTGCTATAAACAAATGAATATAAAACTCCTATAGTGCTATGGACAAATAAATATAAAACTCCTGGTGCTATGGACAAATAAATATAAATGAATATAAACTCCTAGTGCTATAAACAAATGAATATAAAACTCCTATAGTGCTATGGACAAATAAACATAAACTCCTGGTGCTATGGACAAATAAATATAAAATAAATATAAATGAATATAAACTCCTAGTGCTATGGACAAATAAATATAAAACTCCTAGTGCTATAAACAAATGAATATAAAACTCCTAGTGCTATGGACAAATGAATATAAAACTTTTAGTGCTATGGACAAATGAATATAAAACTCCTAGTGCTATGGACAAATGAATATAAACTCCTAGTGCTATGGACAAATGAATATAAAACTCCCAGTGCTATGTACAAATAAATATAAATGAATATAAAACTCCTAGTACTATGGACAAATAAATATAAATGAATATAAAACTCCCTAGTGCTATAGAAAATGAATATAAACTCCTAGTGCTATGGACAAATAAATATAAATGAATATAAACTCCTAGTGCTATGGACAAATAAATATAAATGAATATAAACTCCTAGTGCTATAGAAAATAAATATAAACTCCTAGTGCTATAAACAAATGAATATAAAACTCCTAGTGCTATGGACAAATAAATATAAAACTCCTAGTGCTATAGAAAATGAATATAAACTCCTAGTGATGTGGACAAATAAATATAAAACTCCGAGTGCTATGGACAAATAAATATAAATGAATATAAACTCCTAGTGCTATAAATAAATGAATATAAAACTCATAGTGCTATGGACAAATAAATATAAAACTCCAGGTGCTATAAACAAATAAATATAACCTCCTAGTGCTTTGGATAAATAAACGTAAACTCCTAGTGCTATGTACAAATGAATATAAAACTCCTAGTGCTATAAACAAATAAATATAAAGTCCTAGTGCTATGGACAAATAAATATAAACTCCTCGTGTTATGGACAAATGAATATAAAACTCCTAGTGCTATGGACAAATAAATATAAATGAATATAAACTCCTAGTGCTATAGAAAATCAATATAAACTCCTAGTGCTTTGGACAAATAAACGTAAACTCCTGGTGCTATGGACAAATGAATATAAAACTCCTAGTGCTATAAACAAATAAATATAAAACTCCTAGTGCTATGGACAAATGAATATAAACTCTTAGTGCTATGGACAATTGAATATAAAACTCCTAGTGCTATGGACAAATAAATATAAATGAATATAAACCCCTGGTGCTATAGAAAATGAATATAAACTCCTAGTGCTATGGACAAATAAATATAAAACTCTGAGTGCTATGGACAAATAAATATGAATGAATATAAACTCCTAGTGCTATGGACAAATGAATATAAAACTCCTAGTGCTATGAACAAATAAATATAAATGAATATAAACTCCTAGTGCTATGGACAAATAAATATAAAACTCCTAGTGCTATGTAAAAATAAATATAAAACTCCTAGTGCTATGGACAATTAAATATAAATGAATATAAACTCCTGGTGCTATAAACAAATGAATATAAAACTGCTAGTGCTGTGGACAAATAAATATAAAACTCTGAGTGCTATGGACAAATAAATATAAATGAATATAAACTACTAGTGCTATAAACAAATGAATATAAACTCCTGGTGCTATAAACAAATGAATATAAACTCCTGGTGCTATAAACAAATGAATATAAAACTACTAGTGCTATAAACAAATAAATATAAAACTCAGTGGTCTCATTCCGATCTACTCCACTATACCCTGGGTTCGTTCATGGGGTATTCACATATTCAAATTATCTGCCCTTGATTGTAGCTTGATTCTACAAACCAATCAAAAAACAGTTTATAAGCCAGTCTTAGCCTCATTGTTTACGTTCACAAAAGTATGGCGGCTTATTCACTCGATTATGAGAAAGTTTTCAAGAAATTTAATATTTAACAAGTCAAACAGCAACATGCAAGTCGTTATGTATCCAAAGTTCTGGGAAAGAACTTATATAGGCTTTGCCTGTTGTTCAATCCTTTTCAAATGAATAAACTATTGTTTAAACTAAAGATTGGTAAATAAAAATAGCACAATCATCAGAATAGATAATTTGAATATGTCTTCCCCATGGAGACCAGGGTATATCGGAACGGAAAGAGACCACTGGGGGAACCAAGGATGCTGTTCTTTATATCCTATTATATTTCTAAAGCTGGTTTATATTTATCTATTACATATTTGTTATATATTTATTATATATAAACATCTACATTCACTATATCCTACTTTCATTTCTTACCTTTCAACATGTCAGGGCTGTGTTTTAATTCTAACTCAACTTTAAGTTGTATTTGCAGACAGGCCTTACATGTTTGTAAGATATTAACACTAGTATATCATATTCGAATTATATCAATATAATGTACTACACAGACATTCATCATAGTTAAATGATTTTTTATCTCACCATATTTTATGTACCTGTATTCAGAATGAGATGGGTTACAATATCATGTCCAGTTAGATGAGTTTTTATCTCACCATATTTTATGTACCTGTATTGAGAATGAGATTGACAGGCCATACATGTTTGTAAATTTTTAATTCGAATTATACCATTATACCACATACAGATATTGATCATACATAATTACACGAGTTTATATGTCACCATATTTTATGTACCTGTATTCAGAATGAGATTGGTTACAATAAAATGTCCAGTAAAAGAGAAATGTGTTTCTTGTATTTTTAAAACGCTGAATGAAAACCTCAGTATAATATGAAGACGTTCTTGTTAAATTTTGTGAATAATATTGCAATCTGTTTTTATACACCCACATTTTCATGTGGACGTATATTGTCGTCGCCCCTGTCCGTCCGTCTGTCCATCCACAATTGTTTGTGAACACTCTAGAGGTCACAATTTTTATCCGATTTAAATGAAACTTGAAATATAGGTTTATCACCCTAAGATCTCGGTTCCTTTCGATATTGGCATGTATCGGACTGTAACTTCATGGATTATGGCCCTTGATTGTACGAAAAATCACGTTTTTAGCTTGTGAACACTGTAGAGGTCACAATTTTTTTTATCCGATTTGGTTTAAACTTGAAATATATGTTTATAACCCAAAGATCTCAGTTCCTTTCGATATTCGCGCTTATCGGACCATAACTTACTGAATTATGGCCCCTGATTGTACGAAAAATCGCGTTTTTAGCTTGTGGACCCTATAAAGGTCATAATTTTTATCCGATTTAAAAAAACGTTTTAGTATATCACCGTTACATCCTAAGGATGGCTGAGTTCGAATTTCGTGATAATCGGACCAAAACTGACTGACAAAATGGCCGCCCGTCGTTCTCAAATAGCATAAAAATATGGTATATCAAGGTTTTGGACCCTATAGAGGGCACAATTTTTATCCGATTTTGTTGAAACTTGAAATGTAAGTTTATAACCCAAAGATCTCAGTTCTTTTCGATATCTGCACTTATCGGATCTTGGTTGCTTTCGATATGCAAGTGCGCGCTGTATCATAAAGTCTGTCATTGAGTCAATTGGCGTGGTTTCGATTCCCCAGTTGTATGTGACAAGGAGTAGGGTCGCCGGTCCAACCTCGTGGGTTTTCTCCGGGTCCTCCGGTTTCCTCCCACTGCTAAAGACCCCTAAGCGCAAGCGAATTATGAAAATATAATTGAACCATGTTAGTCCCGAAATGACCTAGTTTGTGTCGAGTGGATGTTAAACCCTATTTCTCTCTCTCTCTCTCTCTCTGCTTTCGATATTCGCGCATATCGGGCCGTAACTTCCTGAATTATGGCCCCTGATTGTACGAAAAATCGTGTTTTTAGCTTGTGGTCCCTCTAGAGGTCACAATTATTAACCAATTTAAAAAAAAACGTTTGAATATATCACTGTTACACCCTTATGATGGTTGAGTCCGAATTCCGTACAAATCGGACCAAAACTGCAGGACAAAATGGCTGCCCCTCGTACGCAAATATTGTAAATATATGGTATATCAAGGTTTTGGACCCTCTAGAGAGAGGACACAATTTTGATGAAACTTGAAATACCTGTTTATAACCCAAAGATCTTGGTTCCTTCCAATATTCATGCATATCGGATCGTAACTTCCTGAATTATGGCCCTTGATTGGACGAAAAATCACTTCTTTTTTTGAGCTTGTTTCCTGTCCATTCCTTGCAAAATGTTGGCGTATCTTGCATGAAAACCGCTTGTTTCCCAATAATTCTTACTGGTGCAAAAAAGTTGTAAGAATTTTCTTTTTCAGTAATACTGTAAATTCTGTAAAACTGTATTTTCACTGATGTGAGTCGTAACTCTGTTATTCAAAACTGTAATAAATTTCAATCAAATACGCTCAAAGTTTAAACTAAACTAATTCTAGAAACTTTATCTATTACGAAAATAATCTGGAAAACATTGATTTTAAGTCGGGGGGAGGGGGGCGAGTCATACTTTAGGAATAAGTACCTGAATCCCACAAAACACCAATTTAAGATATGTAGCCAATAAGACAGTAAATTGAAAAGAAATAGTTTTTTTATTATTGAATATCCAGTTTGATATAAAACTGAAAATCAATTCTTTATTGAGTATCAAGTTTGAATGAATCAGAGAATGAATGATTGAAAAGGGGTTTAACGACGGGCATACGCCATACAGTGCGCTATGGAATAAAAGTTGCCCAGATAGCCATTGGATTCTATCTGTCAAGGGCTCTTTTACCTGCATGCCTGGAGTCACGGTGGCTAAGTGGGTAAGACGCTGTCTCACTAGCCTGGAGGCCGCGTGTCAGGATTTTCCGATGTGGTTTCCCCTTGTCAGTTGTGCAGGAAAGAGGGCCTAACAAAAACAGCTGTCTAGCCATTTGGATGGGACGGAAACTGATGTCCCGTGTATACATTGGCGTGCACGTAAAGGATCCCTTGGCAGTTGGAATTCAATATAAGAGTAGGCCATAGTGCCGCTGCCTGGCACAGTTTCGTACATAGTACTATTTGCGTAGCTAGGAAGTTAAACCCCATTTCATTTCATTCCACCTGCAGGCCGCGTACGGGGTCGGGGGCCACAATTTTTTTTTTTTCTATCAGAACAATTAAAAGCTGTTTCAAAAACACTCTGTTCAGTGCATTTGTTTAAAACTGTTGCGCCCTCACAAATGATTGGAATTCACTGACACACTGACCCACATCTCACGGAGAACTACCGTAGTCTCGTACATGTATGTCCAGACCGATTGAAAAGAGTTATCTTCGAGATGGCGCTTTGTAAAGCGTTCTCGGCAACGATTTATTTTATAAACAAATAAGAGGAATGTGAATATTTTTTAAATGGAATTTTGAGATTTTTGGAAGATCTAGATTTAGTAATGGAGGGTTTATTTCTAATATTATTTAGCTTTTCTCTTTTGTTTCTGACAGTTTCAGGTTAGTAAAAATAGAAGAGAAATGAAATGGGTTCATCTATGAAACGATGTTATTTTTTTTTTTATAATTTATTAGCTCATATGATCCATACCGGTACATCTAGATCTAGTGGGTTGAATCAGAACTTTTTATATGTTTAAGCCAATATAAACAGTGATAGTTTCATAGTGTAATATAATCAGGATTCTTAAATGGGCAATGCAAATTACCGGTAATTGTATTAGACTATTAGGCCCTATTGTCGATAATCTATTGACATTGTACTCACCTCATTCAGTCACAAACTCTAACTCCATTCATGTCTAGAAATAAGCTTTGAGCCGTTTTAGGGTGCTGTCATTTTGGGTGGTCATCATATTAATGTTGTTAATAATTCATCACTAGATGTTTTTGTGTTGTTTATTTTTAGCTGATATCGGAGACAAGTTATCGTATTATGAAATAATAACAACTCCAGAAACGATTGGTCGATATCGACGTAGTATTTATACAGATGAGCAACATGACGATAACGAACAGCTCATTAAAGAAATAACACTCACAGCTTTTAACAGGTAATGGGGGGTGGGGGTGAAAGTCTGTCATTAAGTCAAGTGGAATTGCCCGCTTATACTTGGGTTTTCTCAGGGTCCTCCGGTTTCATCCCACAGCTAAAGACCCCTACATGGAAGTGAAGTATTGAAATAAAATTGAACCATATGTTAGTCCCGAAATGATCTAGTTTGTGTCAATTGGACGTAAATCCCTCTCTCTCTCTCTCTCTTTCTCTCTCTCTCTCTGTCTCTCTCTCTAAATCTAAATCTAAATAATAATAAAACCCTGTTTTGTATACTTTCAGGTCATTTCATTTAATATTGAAACCAAGAACAGAAATATTTTCACCAAATTTTAAAATCAGCGTCGTTCATTCTGATGGCAGTGAAACAATTGCAGCTTTACAAGAAGGAAATTTCTATGAGGGTAAAGTACAAGGTGTGTGTAGACCAGAGATCTTAATCCATTTTAAATCCATCGACCAAAGTCAGTTAACAGATATCGTTGCAAGCTTCTGACAATAATGTTGATATGCTTCCATTCCCTTTGGGGGAAAAGGGGTAATGCGTGCCCTTGAGGGGAGGGGTAATGCGTGTGCTTGAGGGGAGGGGGGATGCTTGAGGGGAGGGGGGATGGATGTGCTTCAGTTTATAAGGTTTGTCATTGAGTCAAGTGCCATGGTTTTGATCGCAAGGAGTAGGGTTGTCTGCCTAAATTTATGGGCTTTCTACCAAATCCTCCAGTTTCTTCCCACTGCTAAAGATCCCGGCATGCAAGTAAATTATTGAAATAAAATATGTACCATATGTTAGTCCCAAAATGACCTAGTTTTTGCCGATTGGAAATTAAACCCCATTTTCCTCACTTTGTCTCTCTCTGTAAAGTAGCTAATTCAAAGTTGTTTCATTCTTCAGAATGTATGTATAATATTAGAATGTAAGAGCTTCATAAATGAAATTTGTATTTCGAAAAGTATACTTTGTATTTTTACACCGTGACTTTAGTAGTATGAAACACTGAAAAAAAAAAATGTATTTTGAAACTTTGTCCATCCTCAAACTTTTGGCAACATTATAATTCCATACTGTACATTTTATATTTACATGGCAGATGAAGAGGATTCTGAAGTACATGGTTATTTTGAAGATGGAAGTTTTACAGGAACTATTTTATTGGACGGAGAGTTGTATATTATTGAGGTATGTTTATTCTGTTTTACTGGAAGGGGTGTTGTATATTATTGAGGTACGTTTATTCCATTTTACTGGAAGGAGAGTTGTATATTATTGAGGTAGGTTTATTCTGTTTTACTGGAAGGAGAGTTGTATATTATTGAGGTAGGTTTATTCTGTTTTACTGGAAGGAGAGTTGTATATTATTGAGGTAGGTTTATTCCATTTTACTGGAAGGAGAGTTGTATATTATTGAGGTAGGTTTATTCTGTTTTACTGGAAGGAGAGTTGTATATTATTGAGGTAGGTTTATTCCATTTTACTGGAAGGAGAGTTGTATATTATTGAGGTAGGTTTATTCTGTTTTACTGGAAGGAGAGTTGTATATTATTGAGGTAGGTTTATTCTGTTTTACTGGAAGGAGAGTTGTATATTATTGAGGTAGGTTTATTCTGTTTTACTGGAAGGAGAGTTGTATATTATTGAGGTAGGTTTATTCTGTTTTAATATTCTCTCTAGGAATATGAAACATTGGAATTCTGACACTCAAGCATATTTCTTCTTGACATTTTTAAACCTTTGATTTTGGAAATATGTCATCTTTCAAACAGCATACAAGACAAAATTATGTATTTGTAGACTTCATTAAGTGGGTGTTTCTATACAATAAAGTTGATCATATTGTATCTGACAGGATATCGACTTTTTGTTATTGTTCTAAGATTGTAAGAGCTAGAGAACAGCTCTACATGCAAAACAGAACTGATAAAAGAGAGAGAGAGAGAGAGAGAGAGAGAGAGAGAGAGAGAGAGAGAAAGATAGAGAGAGAGAGAGAGGTTTAACATCCACTGGACACAAACTAGGTCATTTCAGTACTAACTAGCAATGGGAGGAAACCCAATTCAGAATGACATGATTCATACAATTGAGAATGACACGATTTATACAGTTGAGAATAACTTGATGTATACAGTTGAGAATGACACGATTTATACAGTTGAGAATGACTTGATGTATACAGTTGAGAATAATTTGATTTATACAGTTGAGAATGTCTTGATTTATACAGTTGAGAATGACATGATTTATACATAAAACGAGAATAACATATTTTATACAATTGAGAATGACACGATGAGTTGAACCTGTTGTGCTGTGTATATATGGATGACTTTTCATTTCAGTCGGCATGGAGACATATAGATGATAAGAATCATGGGATAGGAAGTGGTAAAATGGTGGCCTATCGTGGTTCAGACATGCAATGGCCAGACAAAGGACAAGATCGGTTCGAATAATTTTATTTTAAACCAATATTGGTTTTAATATGTATTTGGCTTACTGATTTTTAAAAAAAATTTATGATGACAGTATTTGATTTTATACTCTGTGTTTGATGTAGGGGCTATTTTGTTTTAAACAATATGATAATTTGTACCATTATCCTAATTTTTTAAAATATATTTTTAGGTGTGTTTACACATTAAATCGAACTTCATGTGTTTTAGGGAGCCACACGGTGGCTAAGTGGGTAAGACGTTGGCTCGCTAGTCTGGAGGTCGCTTGTTCGATCCCTGCATTGGCCGAGAAAGTTTGTCAGGATTTTCCAACATGGTTTCCCCTTGTCAGTGGTGCAGGACAGAGGGCCTGACAAGGCTAGCTGTCTAGTCATTTGAATGGAATGAAAATCTGAGGTCCGTGTATACATTAGCATGCATGCAAAAGATCCCTTGGCAGTTGGAATTTGATATAAGAGTAGGTCATAGTGCCGCTGCCCAGGCAAAATTTCCATCATAGCACACTGTATGGTGTATGCCCGTCTTCGTTAGCCCAGTCGTAACAGAACAGTAGGATGTTAAACCACATTTCATTTCATTTCATGTTTTTTAAGGTTAAATTGACTGACAGGTAATTTCTCTTACCTGTCAGTTAAAATAAGAGCTTCACGCCAGCCTATCTGTTGTAATAAAGTCTGTGTATTTGTTTAATTACAGACATAGTTATTGTCAATCAGCTCGAGTTGACAGTAACGATGAGATGTCAGATACGTCAACTACAGAATCAAAACCGAACTCGGACACACAGAAACGGAAGAAACGAGCCACACCGACTAAAAACACCTGTACACTGTTTGCTGTAGCTGATTATAAATTCTACGTAGCGATGGGTAGAAGTGATATTTACAGAACGGCCAGTTATCTCGTGAGTTTATTTTATATACATCATCATCATCGAATATAGACAATCATTGTTGTATCACACTCACACTAAAAACACAATCTGATTAAAACACAGATCCTATTTCGTTTCGTTTTTTATAGTTCAAAATTTCGTTTTACTTGTCTTTACTACACTAGGGTCTGGAAGAGTTCTTATCATTGACGTGTTCTGAATGGTGTGAGAAATTAGCCAATGAAGCGGTCTGTTACGGTGAGCTTTAGGCGTGTTTTGCACGGAACTGTGGGTAATCCATTAGAAACATCAATGCTGATTGGTTAATCAAATGTCTAACGTCATAGGGTCAAAAGCTGCTTGTATGACTTCTGACAGGACCTATCGCTACAAGTTGTCAGATCTTTATGTAGTGTAGGCCATCGAAAGTATAAAAAAAACGAAACGAAATATAGATCTGTATTATAATCAGATTGCTAAAAACATATTCACTAACTGAACAACCATAACAGACTGTCTTTATTGTTGCCATCAACAAATACAATAATACAATGTTCACCTGAAATGTCCTCGTTCTGTTCATTGATCTGTTCCTGAAATTGTTCTCAATTTTGCAGGAAATATTGTAACCGCTTATATTTTTGTAAGACAATGTTTTATTTAAAATACAGCCTATCTACCTAATAAAAGAATGAATATGGATAGATAGAGAATCTTCTACTAGTCTTTTTTGATATCAAAAAATATCAAAACTTTAATCAATGAATATGTTTAATTATGCAGGTTGGTGTGATCGAGAGAACAGACGCTATTTATCGTCAGACTAACTGGGGTGGAACTCAACAACTTACTGGACTTGGTCTAGAATTAGGACTGGTATGTTGTTATTATATTCTACTCAAATTAAATCTGTTAGTTAATGTTTTAATAATTACAATAACGCCAGGTCTGTTATCAATGAGTTAATGTTATAATAACTACAGTATCGCCAGATCTGTTATCAGTGAGTTAATGTTATAATAACTACAGTAATGCCAGATCTGTTATCAATGAGTTAATCTGTTATAAATGAGTTAATGTTATATGAGCTACAAGTACTCTAGATCTGTTATCAATGAGTTAATGTTATATGAGCTACAAGTACTCTAGATCTGTTATCAATGAGTTAATGTTATATGAGCTACAAGTACTCTAGATCTGTTATCAATGAGTTAATGTTATATGAGCTACAAGTACTCTAGATCTGTTATCAATAACTTGAATAAATGAGATTAAAATGAAGCTTATTGTCTGCATGTTGATTAAAATAAGTTATATTATTTATTTGATGTTTATAGATTCGTATACACGACGCTCCAACAATTAGTACATATCATTATAATCAGGCTAAAAACGACTGGGCAACTGGAGATTTTCTTGATGTGAGTATTATTTTGTGTCGGAGAGAGAGAAATGAGGTTTAACGTCGACTCAACACAAACTAGGTCATTTCGGGACTAACTTCTTTTTTTTAAAAATTTTATTTACACAATTCGCTTGCACATAGGGGTCTTTAGCAGTGTGAGGAAACCGGAGGACCCGGAGAAAACCCACGAGGTTTCCTATGGGTCCTCCAGTTTCTTTGCACTACAAGAAAATACCCATGAGCAAGCACTTAATTGATATAAAATTGTAACCCATTTCTCTCTTTCTCTAAACCCATTTAGCTCCCTTAGCTTATTTTAGCTATATATATATATATGTTTATTTATTATGAAGAAAGTAGTTTATTTTTAGGCGTTCGGACGTGATGACACTTTATTTTTGGAATCAGACAGATATAGGTGTATGTTTATTTTTTATAAAGAATACTGTTAAATAAAATGATTTATTATGAAGAATACTGTTGAATAATTAAATGATTTGATTTATTTGTAGGCGTTTGGACGAGATGAAACGTTACAGAATTATTGTGTGGGACACTTGTTTACACATCAGAGTTTTACCAACAATGTTTTAGGTCTGGCGTATATTTCACCTGCTAGAACATCTGGTCTCGGTGGTATATGCTCCCCAAGTAAGTTACACATGTCTTATTTTCTGGAAAAACCTTAAAATTTATCTAGTAAAAGGGGCGTTAAATGGTTGAGTGGTCTAAACTGTGTGCTTTAGATCATTATGTCTGTCGTTGAGTCAAGTGACATGGTTCGTACCCCAGATTTGTATGTGACAAGGGGTTGGGTCAAACCTCACAGGTTTTCTCTGGATCCTCCAGGTTCCTCCCGCTGCTGAAGACCCCTACGGACAAGCAAATTATTGAAATAGATACGTACCATATTATATTCCCAATGTGGCCTGCTTTGTGTTGAGTGGATGTTAAACCCATTTCTCTCTCGTTCAGCGGGATTTCACTACAGTAGTATGTGGACTTCACCAGAAAGTTGCATTTCAATGGCCAAACACTATCATGTATATATCAAATCAATTGAATGTATTAAGGGAAAGCTGTAAGATTCTACTGTGCAGTACAGTCCAAGGTCTCACTCAAAATGAAAAGAGTGATGGATTAATTGTATGTTTATATTTTTTGTAGGTCAGACGTCCGGTGGTATAGTGAGGAGTTATAACACTGGTTGGACTACAACGAAAAATACCGGTGGTGATACCGTTTTAACTCAACAAGCTGATTTAGTTACAGCTCATGGTAGGTACAGATATAACATGGTACAGATCACAGAACACTGACACATTTCTGATCCACAGTCAAGAGCTTTGACACCCATCTTGCAGAAACTTTTACCATTCCTAACTTGTTGGCGATAATATGCTTAACCCTCACATGATCAGCCATCACCATGTCATGCACCGAGGTAGTTCCGTTAGGAACTGTCTCGGATCGGACGATGTCCGCTGATAGTTCCTACCGCTTGCTATATAGCTGCAATATGAAAATACCGCCCATCCCCACCTCTGGTCTAAGGCTATTTTGGAATCCTTACCGACTATTTTTCACTCTGATTCTTCTTTGCTTGCTAAAGGAATCATTTCTTGCCACAGCTGACACACATTTATAATAATTCAACACTATTTTCAAGCAGAATTTTGCGATAAAAAACATACACAAAATACGTTTGAACTGATCAGACATTACGAGACTCGAACATGCGCAGACCCCATGTTTATTTAATCGCTAAATTCTACTTGAAAAGAGTGTTGAATTATTATATATTTGTGTCAAATATGACGAGAAATGATTCCTTTTGCGAAGAATAAACATTCACGGTGAAAACTAGAAGGTAAGGGTTCCAAAATAGCCTGAGAACAGAGGTGGGGAAGAGCGGTATTTTACCGTATTTTCATATTGTAGCTATATAGCAAGTGGTAGGAACTGTTAGCGAACTATGTTCGCTCAGAGACAGTTCCTAAAGGAACTAGCGCCGAGGTAATGTTTTCTTGATCGTTTGTGTGTCATCGTCAAGGCTCTCTTTGCCACGTTTAAATTCCACAGCCCACTTGTTTACTTTGGAAAAGTAAGGGGCATCATACTCAAAAGTGGAGACATTGTCAGCATGTATCTGTGTTAGGGTTAGTCCTCTCCGTTGCAGGTACTTGATATTTTTGATGACTGCCCTATAGCCAGTTTTGTCCATTTCTGGTTATTTCAATGGATAGATTCACAAAATAGTGCAAAAGTTTGGTTCAATCCAATTGATCTCATGCTGAGAACTTTTCAGTCAGCCCTCATATTATAGTTGGTAAGGGATTCCTCAAATTACAGTCAGTGGCTATAAATAAACTATAAAATATTACAAACGGTTTATGAAATATTTGAAATATTAGGGAACTTCGTTAAATTTTAAATAAATAACCCACAGATATATAGATCTTGATTTCCAAAATCAACAAATTTTAACCATAAATTAACTTTTTACCGCGGAACTAAAACTCCATTGACTCATTATCTGATCGGGCAATTAATCACTGGCTTGTGGTGGAGACTCTGACACCCGAGCTCAAAATTCACAGAGTCCACCGCTGGATTTTGATGTGTGTTAAATTTAACATTTTCTATCCACAGTGTCATTCACTCCAGTTTTGTGGGTTGGTTGTTTGAACGCATTTCCCTTAAAATAAAAATGCCTGCTTGTCAATTCACACCTATGAAACAGTTTATGGTAGACTTAATATTTGTAAATTAATTTTATTTTACTCTTTTTGTTTCATTTCCTACCAACAGAAATTGGTAAGTTACTTTTGTTTTATATTTCCCACATGATGAGATGCCCCATCAGAGAGACAATAAAGGATTTATAAGTAATAAGCTAACAATATTTTAGTCACAAAATAACTGAGAATTAAACACTAATATTTATTTATTGTAAACTAAAATTGAACTTTTTATTAAGATCTTTTTAATATGATAGATTCTACTCATTTTTCAGTGTAATTATGATTTGAATTTTTAATATCATTGATTCATTTTTATCCATCATTTTATGTATTTTTAAATGGTTGAGAGCGAGACATTAAGTAATGTATTGTAACAACAAGAGGTCTGTAGGCAATGTCTTGAGCTAGAGACCATTAAACGACTTAAAATACAGACACTGCGCATGTGCTTTTACAGTGAAATAGGTCACGCGAGTCCAATATTTCACTAGTATAAATGATGTACGATTGGCAAATTGCCTGTACGATTATTTGAAATAATGGTACGCCAACATCAAAGGGTGACGTCACATCTGTATTTCAAGTGTTTTTAGTCTTTTAGCTTGATTTTGGGTGCATTATTTATAAATAAATAAATTATTATTGATATTATTATAATTATTTACAGGTCATAATTGGGGTAGTGAACATGACAGTGATACAGGAAACTGTGCCCCTTCCAGTATATTCGGTGATGGTAAATATCTCATGTACCCATTCTCAGTTACAGGATATGATTCAAATAATTTCGTAAGTTTGTTGTTCTACCATAACTTTATTAAAATGAAATCAGCTCAGAACTTTAACCTTCTTAGCCTCATAAGGGATAAACAAGTTTTATGTGATTTTCACGGATATTAGACAATATAATATCTAGTTCTGTTGTTTTATGATAATTGTTAATTATTAGATTCAAAATTCAGTTTGACCTTGTTTGTTTGGATCATAGAGTAAGATGCTAACCAGGAGGTTTCAGGTTCTCTATACTGGTGTTTGCAGAGCATGTCCCCCAGTGTTTGCTCGGAGTCTGTGTTGCAGGATGCAGGGACTGACAAAGACAGTATTTAGATGTTTAGATGGGATGAATGACTGAGGTCCTGTGCATACATTGGCGTGCACTTAATAGAACAACTGACAGTTGGAATTTGATATAAGCGTAGACTGTAACGGCACCTGACAGTTGGAAATTTGATATAAGAGTAGACAGTAGCACAGCTGTTTGGGCACACTATATGACGTTTGTACATCTTCATTAGCCCAGTCGCTGTTGAAAAGTAGGATGTTAAACCCCATTTGATTTTATGTGTATGTTTGTTGTCATTTTTCTTTTTCAGAAATTTTCTGATTGTAGTAAAGTTTCTGTACAGAAAGTTTTGGCGGCAAAACTTGATTCTTGTTTTAAAGGTGAGTGGAATATATATTCTAACATTGATGAATTGTGTCTGTAAGATGGAAAATCAATTTCAATTTTAAACTGTGACTAAATAATTGGGCAAGGCCGAAGATGATGATGAATGTTTAAGACTATGGTGCTTGTAAGAATGACTTATAACAGTGTCAAAAATATTATTCACATTAACCAGAGGCCTGAGCCTCGTCTAAGGATTTGATCGTGCGCGGCAATGTCGGACGAAGCCCCACGCGAACACCGCAGGTGAGAGTCCAGGCGGGGGGTCTGGGGGGCCCCCCCCCAAGAAAATTTTGAAAATTGACTCCCTTAGACTCGATTTCTGAGCACTTGAAAAATAGTTTCGGAGATTTGATACACGATTAGTTTTGGCATCTTGTTAAACCATGGATTTATTAATACCCTGTAAAATCGAGATCAAAACACTGATGCGGCGTTCCCGCAGACAGAAATTTACCCAGAAAACAATCAGAAAGACGGTTTTGTAAACCTACGCACCATGGTATAGTATTGGCACATGGGAAAAACCTTCTCAGCGATTTTCAAAACGTATGTATGTTGCCGCCCAGTCTTCAACTTTTGGGCTCAGTAGGCGGCACAGTTTGGCCAATGCGCGGCGGCAGTGCCGCCTAGTCATCATGTTAAACGAGGCTCTGCCAGAGGCCCCATATGTCTTGAAGCCTTCACTAATAAATTGCACTCAAACTGATGCCTTGTTTTTTTTCCCACGACGGACTAAATTATCTCCCTTAGTTGTTATTTTTACTTGTTTAATTGTAGAGCCTACTCCAGTGACGTTATGTGGTAATGGTAAAATCGATGCTGGTACTGATGAGGAATGTGATGCCGGATTTCTGGGAAAATACGGGCAGGATAAATGTTGTAACTCATTTTGTAAACTTACCGCTACGTCTGAATGTAGGTCAGTTGTATTTCTTCTTTTATGGCTGCTATATATAATAAACGTTCTCTGTTCCTTGTACACTATGCAGTTCCCCATGCATGTTTATCCAGATTAAAATATACATATAGCAAGTGATCTGCTTACATTTAGCCCATTTTTATTGTTTTCTGAAAATACGAAGAATTGAAGAAGCCATGAATGGTCTGATGCAGGTAAATGCATGAGGTACCCTGTGCTTTCTAGAACACCTGATACCACCCAGTGTAGATATATAGTATTGATAGATATTGTACATGATACAGGGTATGCTTACTTTATCTAGAACACCTGATACCACTTGGTCAAGATATATTGTATTGATAGATGTTGTACATGATACAGGGTATACTTACTCTATCTAGAACACCTGATACCACCTAGTCTAGATATATAGTATTGATAGATGTTGTACATAAGACAGGGTATGCTTACTCTATCTAGAACACCTGATACCATTTATCATCGCTCGTATTTTTAAATGAGTTTGGGGGCGGGGTGTCCGAATGGTTTAATATGTTTGCTTTAGATCACAAGATCTGTCATTGAGTCAAGTGGCATAGTTTCGATTCCCTGCTGTGTAGGATTGTCTGTCCTCCAGTTTCCTCCCCCTGCATGCAAGCGAAATATTGAAATCAGATTTAACCATATGTTAGTCCCGAAATGACCTAGTTTGTGTCAAGTAGACATTAAACCCCATTTCTCTCTATCTCTTTAAATGAATGTTGTTTTATTTTGTTTCAGTCCTGTCAACCATGAATGTTGTTTAAACTGTCAAAGAGCACCTGTTGGTACCGTCTGTAGAAACGACACGTTTAGTTCGTGTAAAACAATCAGCTATTGTCCATATCCTTTATAATAATATCCACGGCGAATATTTAGGCTCGTTTTCCATATCCACGTTTCTGTTGGTTACATGGAAATGATCCCATTACATTTACAACCTTTTGACCGGCAAAAACACTGCAAAAATGTGTACATTGATAGTGGGACTTACACTTTTCACAGCATAGTTTTTCATAATCTATTTGTCTGACTCTGTGGAGCTGGTGAATAGAGTGGGATTCCAGTCTATTAAGCTGGTGAATAGAGTGGGATTCGAACCTGTGAATAGAGTGGGATTCCACTCTATCAAGCTGGTTAGTGTATGATCCAGTATAATTCAATCGTAAAGACCCAGGAAACTTACGATCAATCATATATATAATCAAAATAAACACAATTGACCAAATTGTCAATTGAAATCTTTTGGTGCCAGATCTTTTCATAAAGCTGCATCTGTAAAAAGGAATTCTCTACTAGATGAACTTTGACTCATTTTGTCGTTAAGTCAATTCAAATCTCATCTAAAGACATACCTGGATAATCTGTGGTGTAAGAATGTTTGTATGTGAGGATGAGTCCGACGCTTTCTGGATCTAGCTCATTACAAATGGACATTCATTATTATTATATAATATTATTTGTGAACTTTTTCATGTGATATGTTGACCAATTGTCGGACGTCTTGGCTGTATTGAATTATATACGCGCTCTGTCATGATTTTAAATGCCTGTTTTATTTGTTGAAGATACACATTACACATGCAAGAACACTAGAACTATCAGTAAGTTATTCATGCCTTAACGTTATCACAGGAAATAGCTTAGATTGTCCAGCCTCTTTAAATGCTGATGACGACACATCTTGTATAGACAGGTAAGACAAAGTGATCAAGACTAATCATATATTTCATGAACTATGAATCCAAACCTATGAATCATTCATCTGATCAAAGTACGATTTGATGCTATTTAATAACACTGGCCTTTTAGTTTCGTTTTGTATAGTTCCAAATTTTGGTGTACCTGTCTTTACTACACTATGATCTGGAAGTGAGGAATCAGCTAATGGATCGAGCGGTCTGTTACCGCGAGTTCTTGGCGTGCGATGTACGGAACTGTGGGTAAACCACTAGAAATTGTCTTTACTACACTAGGATCTGGAAGAGTTGTTGTATAACCTGCATTCTGGTTGAAGTGAGGGATCAGCCAATGAAACGGTCTGTTATGGCGATTTCTTGTGGTGCGATGCACAATACTGTTGGTAAATCACTAGAACCTTCAACGCTGATTGATTAATCAATGTCAGACGTCATAGGCTCAAAAACCGCTTGGTACGACCCCTGACGTGACCTTCTACTACAACTGGTCAGATCTTCATGTAGTGTAGGCCATGGAAAGTATAAAAAAACAAAATGAAATATAGATGTGTATTTTAATCAGATTGTCTTGTCATTAAATAACATAAGTGATTATTATAAATTAATGTTTAGTTTACTTTTTAAACATTATGCAAGAGCTAAATCTGCATATCGCAGGTCTTTCTTTAGGCCTCAAATGTTATCTAAATTATTAATTAGACATTAATTAACTTATCCAGACCATAATCAGCTTTTGATGGCATCGGATATCTCTGATATTAAATAGATTAGAACAGTTCAGTCATATTTTGATTTAAGCTAAAAATGGAGGAGCGAGACTTAGCTTCGAACAACCAGTACGGTGGTTGAAATTATTGCACACATCTTGTCAAACCTTCAAAGGCTAATATCTTCGCTTGCAATAGAGTAATTTGAATGAAATTTTCAAATTATTCATTTTACATTATCTATTTTCGAACTATTAAAGCAAGAATGGCTATAGCTCTTTATCTAAATCTTGCATAATGTATCTTTAATATATGACTGTGTATATAACATGGGGGAGGTAGAATTTATACTTCCAGTTCTTATATATTCTGTTATTATCGTGTGGGGGGGGGGAGCAGTGGTGACTTCGTGAATAAGATATTTGCCCGCTAACCTGGAGATCCCTGTTAGATCCCAGAGATGGCCGAGAAAGTTCATCAGGATTGTCCAGCATGGTTCGACCTTGTTAGTGGTGTAGTAGACAGAGTTTGGCAAGGAACAAGATCTAATCGTACAAATAGGATGAAAGACTGTGGTCCCGTGTAACAAGTGGGAACAGGACATAAAAATCTTTCGATTCTCCTGGGCTCGAGTTCACAAAGCATTCTCTGACTTAAGTTAAGAATTTACTCAAAATTGTTCGCCTTATTTTAATTACAATATAGCCCTTTATAAAACTTTTGTTGTTTTGAAGTATCAAATACATCAAGAAGAAACTATGTGCAAAGTTTCGTGTTTCTGGAACCAAGATATTTCTCATAAACAGTGATTGAAAGTTGAGTAAATTCTTAACTTAAGTCTGAGAATGCTTTGTGAACTTGGGGCTTGGGCTTACTCTTCGAATTTTAACCCTGCCTATTTCAATGTCCTTTACCTATCGAATACCTTAGTACACTCCTAGAATGACAGAAAGACAGACCGTAAAGATACCTTGGCAGTCAGAATTCTTTAAAGAGTAGGTGAAAACGACGCTGTCCAGGCAAAAATAAACCCCATAGCACAATGCATGGTGTATTACAGTAAAGTTGATATCGTTGACTTAGCAATAAATAACGTTTATAAATGAATCTATACGACATTAATAGATCAGTCGTCAGTTTATATACATGCAGTAGTTAATTAAGTGTGTGTTATGTCACTAAGGTGTTACCCTAAAACCGTGACTATTGAATGATATACACCTGCTAATTAATGATGGGTGTTATAAATAGTCACATCTTTTACAGCTAGTTACACACTTGCTAATTAATAACAACTGTATAATTTCTAACCACTTTCTATACATACTAAACATTGGTTTAGAATACTGACCACTTCTATGATTTAATGACAATAATTGTCATTACTAAAAGGCCTAGCTCCATAAGTCAACGGTATCAGCTTACCAGTGTATATATATGCTAGTCATCATTAGCCAGATTCAGCATGTTTATCCTGGTTGGTGTAGAAAAGTAAAACACTAAATCCCACTTGATTTACTTTCAGTGGTGTATGTCGAGGAGGGGCGTGTCTAGGAATCTGTGAAGGTCAAGGTCTTCAACCCTGTGTTTGTGAAGAAGGTAGATTTATTTATAGAATATTCAACTGAATTATCAGCACTTCCCCTTAATTGGTTATTTATACTGGCAATATGTAAGGATTTGTTTATGCCTCCTCCCCCCCCCATCCAGGTAGGGTCTCCTGTCCAACCTTGTGGGTTTTCTCTGGGTCCTGCTTGTATGTGACAAGGAGTAGGGTCATCTATCCAACCTCATGGGTTGTCTTCCGGTCCTCCGGTTTCCTGCCACTACTAAAGACTCCTATGCACAAGTGAATTATTTAAATAAAATTGAACAATGTGTTAGTCCCAAAATGACCTAGTCTGCCTGAGTGGACGTTAAACTCTCTCTCTCTCTCTGTTGTAAAAACATAGGCGTAGGGGGCCAATTTCAGATAGGGGGGTGCTGAGGCTACTTTGTCAACCAAATTGTCAGAATGAATCGGTCATTAACTAAAACAAATTTTCCATTTTACAATTATATTTCTATGCTATTTGGTCTAGTTTAATGATGTTTGTGCCGGAAAAATGGAAATGCATTGCCCGAAAATGGATGGTTCACCGAATCTGAGGGAGGGGTGGCTTGCAGCCCCCCTGGCTCCTGTGCTTATGTGTATAAAAACTATCGTTAAACCAATATTGAACTATTTATAATTACCAATCCCTCAAATGACATTCTAAGACTATGATGGGTATTTTTTTTTTTTTTTTTTTTTTTACAGTGTCAACATCTTGTTTACGTTGTTGTCGGAATTCAACCCATGGAGTATGTAATCACTTGAAACCACAAACATCGCTACCTCATGGAAGACCCTGTGCTCAAGGCTACTGTGTGGCTGTAAGTTAAATTATCACAAATTGTTCCTCCAGATCTAGAATAAAAAAATGTGTTGAAAGTTAACGAAAATGATATACATAGACGCTCCCAATGTTTAATATAGATTGATGATTGAAGACTATGAAAAGTGCAACAACAGATTTATTCGGTTATAACTTGTTTCACCTTGTCTGTGGTGCCAGACAGAGTGATGTCCCCTTGTCTGTGGTGCCAGACAGAGTGATGTCCCCTTATTAGTGGTGGAAGACAAAGTCGTGTCCCTTGTCAGTGGTGGAAGACAGAGTCATGTCCCCTTGTCAGTGGTGCAAGAAAAGGCCCATCATAAATTTCAGGAAAATTATAGTGGGTGTTGTATAAATCATATATCCTCTCATATGGTTGCAAAATGTTCACAAATTTTCAACCATTTTTGAACTGATATACCTTTTAGAGAGAGAGAGAGAGAAATGGTGTTTAACATCCACTCAACACAAACTAGGTCATTTTGGGAATAACTTATGGTTCAATTTTATTGCAGTAATTCGTTTGCGTGTAGGAGTCTTTAGTAGTGGAAGGAAATCGGTGGACCCGGAGAAAACCCACGAGGTTGGACAGGTGACCCTACTCCTTGTCACATACAAGGAGGACCCAGAGAAAACTCACAAGGTTGGACAGGCGACCCTACTCCTTGTCATGTACAACTGGGGGATATTCCTTTTAGAGATTCAACTTCCACAAAATATGACATCAAATGACATCAAAGACGTTAATTACCTGATAATTTCATTATTTTCATGTTTACTGATATGAAGATATAATTTGTTAAATTTTACAGGGAAGTTGTAAGAAAGCTGCCCAGAGTTTGGTAGAGAGATTATTTAATTTAATAGACAATATCTCTTTAGATGCTATTTGTAAGTATATTTTATAAACATTGTCACTTCAGACATAACTGCTGTATCATAAAGTCTGTCATTGAGTCGACTGGCGTGGTTTCGAATCCCCGGTCGTACGTGACAAGGAGTAGGGTCGCCTGTCCAACCTCGTGGGTTTTCTCCGGGTCCTCCGGTTTCCTCCCACTGCTAAAGACCCCTACGCGCAAGCGAATTATGTAAATAAAATTAAACCATATGTTGGTCCCGAAATGACCTAGTTTGTGTCGAGTGGACGTTAAACCCCATTTCTCTCTCTCTTTATGAATTGTAAATCGTGTTTCAGTAATATTTTGTATTTCAGTGATATTTTTTAAGATAATATTGTGGGTTGTGTGAGGATTTTATTATTTTGTATTTCAGTGATATTTTTTAGAGATAATATTGTGGGTTGTGTGAGGATTTTATTATTTTGTATTTCAGTGATATTTTTTAGAGATAATATTGTGGGTTGTGTGAAGATTTTATTATTTTGTATTTCAGTGATATTTTTTAGAGATAATATTGTGGGTTGTGTGAGGATTTTATTATTTTGTATTTCAGTGATATTTTTTAGAGATAATATTGTGGGTTGTGTGAGGATTTTATTATTTTGTATTTCAGTGATATTTTTTTAGAGATAATATTGTGGGTTGTGTGAGGATTTTATTATTTTGTATTTCAGTGATATTTTTTAGAGATAATATTGTGGGTTGTGTGATGATTTTTACCCTGATTCTGTGGATTCCTATTTCATGTGGAATATCATATTGGGTAAGTTTGAAAATACGTCCATGAAATTGATTCACTAGCAATTAAGTTTTGACTTAAAATCCTGGATTTCTCCCTTTAAAAACATTGTTTATTTAATATAATCTCCCTGTATAAATCGATATGTATTGGATGTAACCTCCCTGTATACAAGATTGAATATAACCTCCTTTGTATACAACATTATTTATATGATATAAGCTCCCTTGAATAAAACCTTGAATATTTTATATTATATATTTTATGTCTTCAGGATAGAAAACGAGAAAGAAGGTTTAACAATATAATGGATATTGAACCTAGAACGGTATGCTATTGGTTTTTATTTCACCCCATCTTCCTGTAGTTATGCTGCAGTGGCTGCATGTACACACTGATAATGCGCATAAAAACAAGATTTATTTAGGTCACATCAGCTTGAATTTTAACAATTTACTTCCAGTTTTAGGGAGAGTTGGGGTGTGGGGAGGGGGGGGTAAATACAAAAAGATACTTGGTTTCCCTTGTCAAAAAGATTTGAGTTCAGATTTTTTCCCTGTGTCATTGGTGCAGGACGGATGGCCTGACAAGGACAGCTTTCTAATCATTTGGATGGATGAAAACCCAAGGTACTGTGTGCGCGTAAAAGATCCTATGGAAGTCGGAATTCAATATAAGAGTAAGTCAAATATGCGTGACAAGGAGTAGGGTCGTCTGTCCAACATCGTTTGTTTTCTCCGGGTCCTCAGGTTTCCCCCACTACTAAAGACCCGTACGCGCAAGCGAATTATTGAAATAAGATTAAACCATATGTTAGTCCCAAAATGACCTAGTTTGTGTCGAGTGGATGTTAAACCCCATTTCTCTCTCTCTCTCTCTCTTCTCTCTCTCTCTGTAGGCCCTAGTCGCTGTCCGGGCAAAATTTATCTCATAGCACACTGGATGCCCGTCTTCATTAGCCAGTTGGGGAAGAACAATGAAATTTTAAGCCCCATTTCATTTCATTTGAGTTCATCTCTCCTGTTATATATATAATATTTTCTGTTTTCAAGGATCGTATGTTTGTTTATGATGAAGATAAAAGACGTGTGAAAGTTCCCGATCAACATGTAAGGCCGAGAACACCAAAAGAAATTTTCATAGCTCGATCACATAAAAAATATTAATGGCAAACAATCAATTTTTGTACACAATAACACAGCCAAAATATAAAACAGTCAATTAGTAGCCAAAACTATATTAAAGGGACATGACAGTTTTCGCTATTATAGTTAAAAGATAGATAACATCAAGAGAGAATTTCAGTCAAATTACTGAGCCGAGAAAACTGCATTTGAAAAACACTGTAACCTCGATTGTCATTGTCCAGATTATATATTTTGATGGTTAATCATAAATAGCCATTGAATTGCAGATCTGTTTAAAGTCGTACCCATCAGATGGCATCAAGAGTTGATTATGGTCTTGTTATGTTTATTAATGTCATGTTAATTAATGTCTAATTAATAGTTTAAAGAAAGACTTGTAATAGGCAGATTTAGCTTTTGCATAATGTATGATTAAGTCTGGAAAATTGTGATACAATATTGACCTAGCATCTGACCTTTAATGGTGTGCCCATGGCTGCAGTAACCATTACACAAACTAAGCACATGCTTGGGGCATAATGGGGTGGGGGGACACAGAATTTCTGCTTTGTTAAATAACTCTGAAATATGACTATTATGAAAACCCTGAAATATGACTGTAATGGTAGCCCTGAAAGATGACTGTATCGATAGCCCTGAAAAATGAATGTTATGGTAGCCCTGAAGTATGACTCTTATGGTAGCCCTAATAAATGACTGTAACGATAGCCCTGGAATATACCACCAGCATAATCTATATGTTGTGTCTGACAAAGTTTAAACAGGCTTCAGGTACAATATGATGAAATGTTACTTATATAAATATAGTTATAAATGTTATTTATACAAATAGTTATAAACGTTACTTATATAAATACCGTTATAAACGTTACTTATATAAATACAGTTTTAAACGTAATGTTATCCATAATAATGGTTACAGTTACAAAGGGTAATTGATAGACTGCTGTTAAATTATTTATTCCTACATTTTTGATACTCAATCATTGTAATTGTTTTTTTTATAACTGTCTTTATTTTGTAAATAGTGTTTTTAAAGCAAGTTTTATAAATAGTGTTTTTAAAACAGTTTTTTGTGAACAGTGTTTTTGACACAGTTTTGTAAATAGTGATTTTAAAACTGTTTTTGTGAATAGTGTTTTTAAAGCAGTTTTTTCTGAACTGAATAGAATAAGTATCATTGTTTGTATTTTTGTCTAGGGCAAAGTTTGTTTTATATCAGTGTTTAATAGAGTAGGGTGGGGATGTCCCAATGATGCAAGTGACTTGAAAGTTATACCCACCTGTAACAAGAAGTAGGCCATGCACCTGCATAATTCGTTTATTCCAGGTGATAGAAAAACTTTCATTAACATCTGGAGTACGAGAGATTTGAGGCGAGAGGTTTGAGGCGTCAAGTAGGCCTACATCCACGAAACCTGTGTCAAAATGTTTCTTAGAATCACCAATAAATCCGCTTATGAGTAGTCTATTTATGGGATTAACCCACTTCTGAGTAGGTCAAAGGTCACAATTGGTTGGCCACGCCCAATCTATATTAAATGCAAAACGCAGTACATGCACAAAATGGGCATTCAAACTGTTCCTTGGGACCCCCTAGGGCAATGTGAATCCTTCTGAGTGAGTACTTTTGGGAATTAACCCGCTTTAGAGTAGGTCCAGGGTCACCATTGGTCGGCCACGCCCAATCGTCCACTGTACTCGAGTTGTTAATGAAATCTTTGTTAGACTCAAGCTCTGATTGAAAGCAGATTAATGAAATAAAACATCTACCACATGTTAGTCCCAGAATAGGACAATCTAATTAAAACACAGATCCAATTTCGTTTCGTTTTTATAGTTCAAAATTTCGATTTTATTTGTCTTTACTACACTTGGTAGGCCATCAAAAGTATAAAAAACGAAACGAAATATAGATCTATATTTTAATTAGATTGAGAATAGGAGATAGTTGACTTTACATATCACCCGGCTCAACATTGTATTACTGATTTATATAAAAGTTTAAATTGACTGTGATATTATATGTATATTTATAGAGATATATCTTTTAGATTTATTTTTGTTTTATATAGATGTATGTGTTAACGCTAGGTTCCCACTGTCGTGCGATGTGTTACGATAGGATTATTCCTATATTGAGTCCACGATCTGGTATACGTGCCGATACGTTAATCGGACGCGTTTCAATACGATCAACACGATTGCTACAACTGATCTCAATATGTGATGAGACCTGATAGGATCACCACGGTTACTCCACGATTAAAACCACGATTTCAATCGCAGCGCGAATCGTGATGCTGGGAACCTAGCATTAGTAAAATAAAATGGTGTTAAAATTGAATTATAATGTTATTTAATTCTGTGTAGTTGTCTTTGCACCAATTATAGCAATGACGGCAGTGAAAGGCAAATGGAGCCGTCACGGTTATATGTAGGGAACCAGTTAATTCTGTTTGGGACCATTTTGGAAGACCTTGTCTTGTCGCTTATCTCTACAGTCGGGTCACAATCCCCAGGAATACTTTTCGAGGCCATGGCATTTGTAGCCATTTTGGATTTTGGCGGCCATTTGAATCAATTGTCTGTGACCAACAAAACCTATAAAATGATATATTACTCGTGTCATTTCGCCAACAATATTTATCAAAGTCAATTTCAGACCATTTTTGGCCGCCATCTTGGATTTTCGGCTTTCAGGGAGTTAGCCAGTAGTTTTCAGAAGTAGCAAACTATAGATATCTTTACTAGGGCCCCTTTTATCAGAAACCGTCGTCAAACCTTGTTCCTCGAGAAATGGGGGTTGTAACCCGACTAGTAGGCTATCTGTTGTGCTTTTGGTGGGTCGCGATTACCACCCATACCATGGGGTGGGGGTGGGGGAATGGCCTAATGGTTAGCACGTGCGCGCTGTATCATGATCAACTTAATACATAGTCTCGGTTTCTCGATTACCGATCGTCGATTTGATAATTGATTTGTGAAATGGGTATTTGATTTATTAAATGGGTATTTGTTTTGAGAAATGGGTATTTGTTTGCGTATGAAATTTTAGCCAATGTTCATTTATTTGACCAGCTATAGGGGGTGGTGGCCGATACATATATATATAACGCATGCACTTTAGATCATATAAGATCTGTTATTAATTCAAATGCAACTTGTTTCGATCCCAATGTGACAAATAAGGAGGGGTATGTCCTACCTCCTGGCTTTTCTCCGGATCGACCGGTTTCCTCCCACAGTTAAAGACCCTTACGCGCAAGCGAATTATTGAAATAAACTTGTACCAATGTGTTGGACTCGAAAAGACTATGTCTGTTTCGAGTGGACGTTAAACCCTAATGGGGGATCACGTGGCTCGCTAGCCTGGAGGTCGGGTGTTCGATCCCTGCATTGGCCGAGAAAGTTCATCCAGATTTTCCGGCGTGGTTCCCCCTTGTCAGTGATGCAGGACGGAGGGCCTGACAAGGACAGCTGTCTAGTCCTTCGGATGAGACGAAAACACGAGGCCCCGCGTAACATTAGAATGCACGTAAAAGATCCCTTGGCAGTTGGAATTCGATATAAGAGTAGGCGATAGTGCCGTTGTCCGGGCAATATTTCCCTCATAGCACACTGTATGGCGTATGCCTGTCTTCATTAGCCCAGTATAGGACGTTAAACCCCATTTCATTTCATTTAAACCCTAATCCCCATCTCTCTCTCTCACGATCGATCTCTCTCCATTTGACAACTTCAGCAAGAATGATGAAAACTAAAAAAAATTATTGAATAAAATCGAGCACCAGATTGCGCTCCATATTTCATCAAAAACATTCTGAGAAACAAATCTGACAATAATTTTGTTAATTTCACTCACTTAATTGTACTCACTTAATCTGAACAATATAAAGCAGCTCGTTTCATAAATTATTTTTTTGAGGGACGGTATGGAATACTGGAATGGATTCTGATATCAATTTTAATCATTTAAGTTTTTTTGAGGCGAGTATGACAGCCTGGAATGGAATCTAATATCAGTTTTAATCTCCTTCAGTTTTTAGACTCTAATAAAACTCCGGTAACATGTGGCGTTTTAAAATTAATCTAGATTTTTTTAAAACAATAAACAATCTCTGCTTATTAAAGTAGAATAAATATTGCATGTTTGAAATGTTTTAATAACAAGGTTCTCATTTATTTTATTTCGAATCGATAATAGTTTGAGGCTTTTTAACGTAATTTGTTTAAAATCAGGACCTGGGGCCTATTATTCGTAAAACACCAAATGTATTGATTGGATGATGGTTAAAATTCGGGGCCCTTATTCACGAAAACTTAAACTAAGTTACAACCGAAATTTTAAGAAATACTGCAACTTCATTGGATATATGCAAATTGATTTTACTGGTCAGCCAATCTAATTGCAGTATTTCTAAAAATTTTGATTGTATCTTAGTTTAAGTTTTCGTGAATAAGGGCCCCGGTACAAATTTTTAGCTATTAGCCAATGAAAAGGCTGCATTCTTAAAAAAATTATTTTAAATTTTCGTGAATAGGCCGCCTGCATGATTGCAGACGTGACTGGGTAATATCCTCTTGTTCTGAGGGCGACACTCTTCACTTACTATTGCCATCGCCGACAGCTCTCTAAGCTCCACCAAATAGGATACGAAATGGAACGACGCATGTTTGTTCTTTGGACAATTCCTTATCGATCGCAAGAACGCTAGATCGGAGACGGTCTAGCACATATGACGTCATGTGGAGTTAGGTTTAGGGTAAGGGTTAAGACCCGTTCCGTAGCCAGCGGGGGGCAAGGGGGGGCAATGCCCCCTGAAAAAATGTTTTTCCTCTCCCCCCCCCCCCCGAACAAAAATTTGCCGACCATAGCTCTAAAATACCTACTGTAGACTGTGCCGGCTGTGACACCCCCCCCCCCCCTAAAAACTTCACTGCCCCTCCGCAGCCAGCAAGATGGCTACGGGCCTGGTTAAGACTGCAGATTTCGTCAAGGTCTCGTGATATAAAGAGGGCTAGGGCTAGCCCTAACCATAGAACTAGACCTAAACCTTACCCTAACCCACAATCCACATATGACGTCATTTGTGCTGGAGCTACTTCACGATTTCAAGATGGCTGCGATAACGTCATATTTGGTTTCTTGTTCGAGTTTTAGTACGGTGGTAATTGTTTTGTTATATTAAGCTGAATGTCATCATGTTTTTTAACACTATAATGAAGGGGCAATGTCCACTCTAAAAACGGTGGGTGGATGACCGGATGGCGTAACGAGTGTGCGTTAGGTCATTCATATGTTCTGTCATTGGGTCACCTGACGTGGTTTCAATTCCCAGTTTGTATATGACAAGGAGTAGGGACGCTTGTTCAACCTCGTGGTTTGCTTCCCTCTACTAAAGACCCGTACACGCAAGTGAATGATTGAAATAAAATTGAACTGTATAATATGTTAATCCAGAAATGACCTATTGTGTGTCGCGTTGACGTCAAACGCTCTCTCTCTCTCTCTCTCTCTCTCTCTCTCTCTCTCTCTCTCTCTCTCGTGATCAAGTAATAAACGTCACCAAGGAAAATGACGTATTGAGCCGAGGTTGATCCCATGTTAATCTGGTTCATTTTTTTATTATCATTCATCGTAAAACTGACTGACATTACGTCAATAATCTAATCATCCTGATCATTCCCACGCCTCCCATTTACTCTCTATTGATCTACCGGTAATCCTGTCTTAATCCCCCCCTTCTTAATCCAAACATGTTATCAGGCAAGACGGAGATATATCATCTTCAAGTTAAACCCAGGGTTATTTTTAGACGTAGACTTGTCTTTATGTTTGTCTGAAGTGGCTCAATAAGTAAAATTATCTCGAAAATTTGTCCGTCGGGAATTCTGAGCCGCATCTCCACCTCAGCCGCTGTGGCGGCGCCAACCGCCGATGGTTGGAGGGGCAAAGTCCAATGTTAAGGGGGCAAAGGCACGAGCTTCAACTAGGGGGGGGGGTCTCCCCAGAAATTTTTGAAAAACAGGCTGCCGGAAGTGCAGTTTGGCAGTATTTCAGACACTGATCGTTGAGATAAAGTGTCAAACGAACGAACCTCGGCGAAGCCCACTCACGAGCGCCAAAGTAAGGAGTTCTTACGGAGGGTATGGGGTACGTCCACAAGAAAATTCTTAAAAATAGACTGCCAGAATGTCGAGATAAATAGAGCTGACCAGATACCGCCCATCGCCTGCCTGATCACTGGTTTATACGACCGGAGAAGAGAGTTTCAAACGAACAGACTAGCGAACCTCAACGAAGCCCCCCAAAATTTGAAAAATAGACTGCCGGAAATGCAGCCTGGCAGTATTTCAGACCTTGGTCGTCGAGATAAATAGAACTGACCAGATACTGTTCGTCGTTTAAAGGATCCGCAAACGCCGGTGAGACGATTCAAGGTCCCAAGTCCGGAAAATTTTGAAAATAACATCGCCGTAGATGACATTTAGAGCAATTTCTTGTTTGTTTAGATACAAACTAGAACCGATGATTTCGTTGTTCAAATCTGTAGATAAACAGATGAAACTGGGTTTAACGTCCTTCTTCCGGAACAACTGGACTAATGATGACGGACATACGTCATGCAGTGTCCTATAATGGTGGAGGGATCTAATTGGAGATTGGTGTTGCAGAGGCGGATCCAAGCAGGGGGGGGGGGTGCCCCACTCCCTAAATTTCGACAGTGCCCTTCTTTACTGCTGAAAGTGCCTTTTCTCAGACCCAAATATGTCCGTTCTCAACCCGTTGCAGGGATCCCAAATGACTCAAACCATCGACTCAAACACACCAGTCTGGTCTAATTTCAAACGAATTCTTGTTATTTAGCTGACGGTGCCTTAATCCTATAGAGTGACTATAGACAGACAACACTGATAGCATCTTGTGGAATCGGCGGCGTATACACTCATGCCCATCACCGACGCGCATGAGTAGATCTTGATGTAGCATTGTTTCATGTGTGGACAGTACACAGTACAAGGCTTAAATAGTGAAGTGGCTAGGGAATAGATTCGTCTTTTTTCCCATCATAATGCCTCGCTCGCCTTGACAATGTTCGAGTCGCATGTTCAACTGGCTTTTTTTGCTCGATTTTAAGGCTCTTTTTCAACGATTTCAGAACGTAAATCTTAAGATAATCTTAATCTGTCTTCTAGGGGGAAGCAGGTAATCAGGACGGCACCACACATAAACAAACATGCATAATACAAACCCACGGAGTTGATAAAACAAACCCACGGAGATGATACACCATAAACACACAGACATTGTAATTCATAAACAACAAACGTACTACTAAATTG